AAATTCCTTGAAAGGTGATTAGTATTGGGAAAAAAAAAAAAAAAAAAAAAAAAAAAAAAAAAAAAACCGGAGAAGAGAAGACTCACCCGAAAAGAATAGAGTGACTTGTCCAGTCCTTTTCCACTCCATAAGCATTTCAACAAGTTGGCAAGATACTGTGGCAAGACGCCTCTTGTTCCTTTGGCGTTTCTCACTTGCAACGCTGACGTGAACTTGTCCATAAGAAGCCAATGCGACAGAGGTATAGTCGCGCTTAAACATTGAAGGGTAGCATTCATATAACACGTTATGCCATAATTTTTAAGACCAGAGTCTGGAAGCTTGATTCGAAAAGTATTCGGGCCTCCTGTTGAATTGTAGAGCGGCGGCGCCGTGCCGGGCGATGCATGGGGAGGCCGACTTGATTGTGATGACAATGTTCGCTCCGATACACCGCTGTAGCTTGTCCGTGGTACTGCAGGAGCTGGCCGAGAGGGTGGTCGCGGTATCGAGGCAGAGTGATATTGGTATGGAGCTGGAGCCGGAGTCGGAGAACTCATAGACTGCTGTAGATCCGAAGCCTCGGGATAGCGTCTATGAAACTCTTCATAGCTGTGAACCATTGAGAAACCACCTTCCGATCCATCTCCTTCCTCTCCCACAGACAATTCTGGTGGCTCATAGCTATAACTCTCCTTGCGAGCCTTTTCCAGCCAATACTGTTGTTCTTCCACATTTCGCGGATCGTAACCCCTAATGCGCCTCCTCTTTGGCGAAAGATTGGACGAAGCACCTGCCATTGGCACTCGTGAAATCGGCCTGCCGTTCTTTGCCCCTGGAGCGGAAGTTTCAGAGGTCGCGAGCGCACGCGGCCCCACGAGATCAATCCACGCTTCCAATCCGCCAAGCAAGAGTTTTGGTGGCCGCTTGAGCGGACTGTCATAATTGAAATCGGTCACGGAAGAGTAGAAAGCTTTGAGAAAGTCCGTCTGTGAATTGTGCCCCCCTGCAGACTTTAGAAAATCCGCAGAGGAGGTCGATTGATCATAGTAAACAACCAAATCAAATGAGTCTCTTATTTCAAAGAGTGATAGCTCCGACTCTGGTGAGAGGATGAGGCTCTGCTCAAGATCTTCTGCCGACATGTTCATTCTCAGCGCCGTTGGTTCAATGCAGATGACTGACGTGGCGAAAATGTGTCCTTCGTCAAATTCGTCTCGCTCACGAAGATCGACGAGCAAGACGTTGAAATATTTGAGATATTCTCTGAGCTCTGCTGCAGTGATTGCGGGCTCTAATGTTATGGGTAATGAGTTTCTTTCGACTGGTTTCCTTTTAGGAACGCGCCCTGGATCAAAGCCTACACTACCATTTCTGATAGAACCTGGTGGAGTATGGCCGAATCTTTGATCAACGTCCGATGTCGTCCCAGAGAGAGCCGTGGCATCAGGACGACGCCCAGAACTCACCATGCTCCTAGCGGTGGTTCTGGGTGGATTGATGTTGGAAGGAGCCGGCAAATTGCGCGCAGGACTATAAGTTGGACTGGGCGCCCTTGGCAGCGTCGACGGAATTTGAGTGTTCAATGGGATTTTAGGGGGAGCCGGAGGTACAAGATGTGATACTGGTGGATCTCGTGGCCCGTACAGCCTGCTCTGGCGGGCAGGGTCGTTCGAGGGCGTAGTTGAACCGCTTGGGGGTGCATATTTCGGAGCAGGAGCAGTCATGAACTGGCTGGGTGAAGGCATTCGTACAATGGGCGTCGGTGCACCATTTGGAATCTCTGGAGCTATTGCAGAGCCCGGTACCAGTTTTCGGGGCAGACCATTCAAAGACGGGCCACCGCCTGAGCTAGCGGTCCTGAGCCTAGCAAAACGTTCGGCCAATCCATCGGTTGATGACTTCGCCGGGGAAGTGGCGGGTGGAGGGATATTCTGTCCGGGACTCCTTCGCAGAAGGCTCTCCGGCCCTTCATGTTGGAATGGCGACCTTCGCGGAGGCGTCGAGGCCATCGCGGAGCCACTTAAAGTCGTCGGAGTGACACGGCCAGAACGGAGTTCAGCCGCAGCGCCGATGGACTGCCGCTGTAATAGTGAAGATGCTCTCCCGTCGGAATTCGAGACTGCGCCATCTCCATTGAGATAGTAACCGTGCACCGACTGCGGTCGCGACGAAGGGCGACTGACGGTTCGTGATGATGGGGACGATGCTACTGACGGCAGTGTCGGCTTAACGCCACTGGAGATGTTATCGTCGATAATTATATTCCTGACAGCATCAAACTCTGTATGCTGGGCGTCGATTTTCTATATATATCCACCCCTTCGTCAGCATTTCGGGTACATGCATTTCGGAAGAGAACCGTTTGAGATTCTGCTGCAAGGTTTCCCGACCTTGATAAGTTCCCTGTTTAGTCGCCAAAGCGCTGCCCAATCGCTACTACCTCCAACTTGTCCACTGTGTAATGAGGGCGCGTCCTTATGGTAAGGAATTACTTCGGATATTATATGAGACGCTCTGACGTATTCGGCGAATGCTAGGTCTGGGTGCGATCGTTCAAGATTGAGTAGGTTATCTGCCTGCTTGGCAGATAGTTCGGCAGTGCGTAAAAGTTTCGGCAGCTACAGCATTATAGAACAAGTTAACAAATGCACTTCCCTTCCTCCAACAAAAGTAATGCCAATGACTCCGCCCGGGGAAGACTCACCGGAGCGTAACTATTCACATCGGTGACAGCTCTTGTAACGAGGTCTTTGACATGCGGATACGGGCGTCGTCCTGAACTTGGAGAAGTTCCATCTGTTCTCCTCCCGGAGTCATAAGACCCTGAACTCGAGGCTCCCGACATATGCATGCCCCCATGCCTGCTCATTATGAGACGTAGTCAAAAAGCGGTTGGGGAGGTACTTCAGCAAGGCCAGCCACAGTCGTCATCTGCAGAGTTGAATATATGAAGCAACATGAGACATCGCTGACAGCCAAGAACCGCTTTGCTCCGCAGTCTGCTGTTGGGAGAGCCTGAAGCTAGACGGCAGCTCAGGTACAAGGTCCGAGGTGCGAGTGGCGGCGATGACAGGGTTCCGCCGACGTAATCCTGGAGCGAGGGTATAATAAATCATGCAATCAATATCAGACGCCTGTGCAGCTTTGTGAAAATTTAATCAAAAACCATCGATATCCGCGTCGCAATGCGGAGTTGACGTCGGCCGAGTACTCCGTACAGATAATGCCAAACAGAGGGGCTATAAAGTCCCCGAGCTCCCATTGTTTCTTTGACAATATAGAATCAGATATCGTCGTCGCCATCAACCAAAGGGCTTCTAGCTCATTGGGTAAAGCAGATCCTCTATGGCGCAATTGGCTAGCGCGTCCGGCTGTTAACCGGGAGGTTGGTGGTTCGAGCCCACCTGGAGGAGCTTCACACTTCCTTTTTCCAACCTACGCTCTCTCACAAAGAGTGTAGGACAATAACTTTCAATCCTCTATGGCGCAATTGGCTAGCGCGTCCGGCTGTTAATCAACTGGTTTACCGGGAGGTTGGTGGTTCGAGCCCACCTGGAGGAGAAAGAAAACACAGGAAGTCGACGATTTTTTTGTATTTATTTTTCTTCCATGTGCGTATTCTATTTTTTTGTAGCCATTGGTTTTTGTTTTTCTCCTTTGATTGAGGCATTCTGACCGTGTTCTGGGCTAGAGTAGCTTTTCATTTCTTTGTTTCAATCGCCCCAGCTACTAATCTTCACCTAAGTTGATGGTGTGAAGAGTAGGTCGATATGACTTCTTTGTCGAGAGACTCGAGTCAAAGAAGTTGGGACTGGTTGGCTAGACGCCGGCAGAGGGGCACGCATGTACTATGGGTTACATAAAGAAACATACATGGAGGGTAAGGATGATTTGGATAACCTAGACTAGGCCAGAAGTACGAGGCAAGTCTCATGGTGGATTGAAACACAAAGAAGAATCGATACAAGACTGAAGAGTTTCATGCCTGAATCTAGGCGCTCATCATTTGCATTTAGAATTCTGGTATATATACGAGAATATACATATTATAGTCCCAAAAAGTGTAAGAACACGGACATCAAGTTCGTAGCAGTGTTTAAAAAGGGAAGGGAAAAAAAAAATAAAAGGATAAAATGTAGAATGAGGGGGAAATGGATAAAATCAACAAAGAAAAAGAGCGCCCATGGATAGCGGTTTGGATATCTCAAAGCTTATCCCCGAACCCAACAACTTTTCACTTGATTTAGGTCTTGACGTCAGGGTCAGTGCGGCCAACAAACTCCTTCAGCTTGAGCAAGTCAATGGCCAGAGTGATGTTGTCCTTGAGGTAGTCCTGGGCGTCGAGGTCAAAGGACTTGGGGTCATTCTCGTGCTTCTCAATGTACAGACGGATGGTAGCACCGCTGCTGCCAGTGCCCGACAGACGGACAACGATTCTGCTGCCATCGTCAAACTTGACGAAGATACCCTGGTTCTTGCTGACGCTGCCGTCGAGATCGGTGTAGGAGAAGTCGTCGGCCTCAACGACCTTGCGGCCGCTGACAGTCGAGCCCACAAAGGTAGCCTTCTGGGTGGTGATGAGGTCCTTGACGTGAGCAACCATGTTGGAGGCGCCAGCACCGTCAACATTCTCATAGTCGTAGCGAGTGAAAAACGTACGGCCGTAGATTTGCCAGAACTCCTTCTGGATGGAGGCGATGCTGGGGGTCTCATGGGGCTTCTGCTGGGCGACACCAGCAATAATGTTCAACCAGGCAATGACAGCCCAGACACCGTCCTTTTCACGGATGTGGTTGCTGCCGGTGCCGAAACTCTCCTCACCGCAAATCGACATCTTGTTGGTGTCGAACAGGGCGCAGAAGAACTTCCAGCCAGTGGGCACCTCGTAGGACTGAAGACCCTGCTTCTTGGCGACCAGGTCAACGGCACCAGAGGTAGGCATGGAACGGGCAAGACCGTAGACACCCTGCTTCTTGAAGTAGGGGATGAGCTTGGCGTGGTGGGCAATGATGGCCAAGCTGTCACCGGGAGAGACGAAAGTGTTGGCGCCGTAGATCATGTTGCGGTCACCGTCACCGTCACTAGCAGCACCAAACTGGATGCCGTTCTTGTCGACAACCTCGACCAGCGAGTGGGCATAGGTCAGGTTGGGGTCGGGGTGACCGCCACCAAAGTTGGGGGAGGGGATGCAGTTCTGGGTGCTGTTGGAGGGCAGGCCAAGCTCCTTCTCGAAGATGGCCTTTCCGTAGGGGCCAGTCACACCGTGAAGGCCGTCAAAGAGGACCTTGAAGTCCTTGTGGGTGTCAAGGAAAGACTTGATCAAGGGGAAGTCAAAAATGTCCTTGAGCATCTCAACGTAGTCTGCAGTGGAGTCGACAATCTCGACCTCGAGCGAGCCATAGGTCTTGGTGCCAATGGTGGAGAGGTCAATCTCGGGAAGGTCGGCAATCTTGTACGAGGTGAGGGTCTTGGACACCTCGAAGATCTTGTTGGTAACGGACTCGGGGGCGGGAGCGCCATTAGCCAAGTTGTACTTGATACCGAAGTCTTCGGTGGGACCTGCAATCAGACAAATTCATTAGTATTTTTGTTCCAATCGCTTTATTATTATTATTATCTTTTCTTCCGCAGAGGCACTTACCACCAGGGTTGTGGCTGGCAGTGAGGAGAATTCCACCGGTAGCCTGTCTCTTGCGGATGATGTGGGAAGAGGCGGGCGTGCTCAGAATGCCGTTCTGGCCGATGAGCAGCTTCTTGACACCGTAGGCAGCGCCAATCTTGGCAATGAGCTGCATAACCTCGGGGTTGTAGAAACGGCCATCACCACCGATGACGAGGAAGCTGCCCTCAACACCCTCGGGGATGGAAAGAAGGATGCTGGTGACGAAAGCCTCGCTGTAGTGGGGCTTCTGGAAAACGGTGACCTTCTTACGAAGTCCGGAACTTCAAAATCCAATTTTGTTAGCACATCTTCAAGCGTGAAGTGGTCGCGGAGAAGAAGTTTTTAAGGATGAAGAGGGAAAGGAGCGGCCAGTTTTCTGGTACCTCCCATCCCCAAACACCAAGGGCAAGCTTCATCGGAAGAAATGATCAGATTACTTACGTTCCGGGCTTCTGGTCCGCAAAGGGGGAGAAAGAAACGGTTTGGACGCTCATTTTGAGGATGGCAAAGATGTTCTGGGAATCAAATGCTTCTCCAGAGGGAATTGATGAGATTAAGTAGGAAAGACTAAAGGAGAGTGGAAACTTGCGGTGACGGATAAGTTAGGTGACCTGGCTAGGTGGGGTGTGGTTGAGACGCGGGGTGGGGAAAAGCAGGAGCGTAACAGGGGAGCGACAAGAGAGGGAAAGGGACAACAACAACGTCGTGAGAGACCCTTTTCTTTTTTTTTTTTCACGGCAAAACACGGAGTGCTGTCTGTTATGTCCAATTGACCAGATGAATTTTGACACGACAAGAGGTTCTTATACCTGTGGGAGATGATCTTTCAGGGGTCTCTTGTGGTTTGCAGCCCAGAATTGTTGTGCCTCGGACGCCACTACGACTTGGACCTATAAGTAGAAAGATCGAGACTAGTATATAGTACATATCTTGCTGTTACCACACGCAAATGGTTTCATTACAGTACAAGATGGTGATTAATTCCTTTTCCAATTGCTAGGTAGGTACCCACGCCCACACCTCCCGTCCAGGCTCTTCTTTTCAGCCAGCCGGGCAGGCAGTTTTAGCAGAGAAGTGGATCAAATACGGATTACCCAACTGAGGTAGGAAGCGAACCAGGGCCACTAGACGATCCCAAAAGGGTCGATTTCTCACTAGTCGCTGGTTGATGCTCCTCACTCAAACATGGCGAATTTCCAAGATTGGCTTGGCTGAGCCCAGTCTAGCCATCCCACAACTCCCCTTTTCCCTTCCCCAATTGAGCACGCACTTATCATCGTCCCCCGTCGCATGATTTGTTCCTGTCCAGTCAATTATATGAATGATTCCCTGCTACAGCACTCTTCAACTGAATTGAGTGGATTCAATAGAATGCATACAACAGCCACGTAGCGACATCCGTTTGCTCTCTCTCTCTCTGGCGTGATCCAAACGATTATATATACATATACCTTATGCTTAGAGCATGGACCTCGGCACCAGAGAGATCTGCAATCGATTCAATTAAACCTTTGGCCGTCAATTAAAAGTCGGCGACCCAATCATACATGGATCCCCGGACATGCAATCATTCTGAAAGCACTTATTAATTGCTGTTCTGCAATATTTTATGCCCACGGTGCTTAAGGTATGATATGCGGACCCCCTTGTTCCCCTCATTGCCCCTCTAGTTGCGGACCCCTCAACCTGATAAAATCGATTTTAATGGGCGATAAGACACCACCCATCCTACTAATATGAAACACTACATGTCTCAAAAAACCAATGGATTGAATTCCTTGTCCACACTCGTCGTCAAGCCTTTGGATTCGCGCCTTCTTTCACCCTCACTGCCCTTTCAACGAGGCCCTTTCTCTCAACGGTGAATAGTTGCTGGATCAGAAGCGATCAGCGTTAGATTTGGCCTGTAAATATCCTTAAAACGGCCCCCCAAAAAATAAATAGCCTCCCAATTCAATCGGTCATTTGTCAGGTATCCCACAAGATAAGAAAATATATGAAGGAGAGTAATGAAAAGAAAAAAGGAAAAAGAAAAGGAAATTCATCAATCTACGGTCGTCGTTAAAAAGCTATATGCTAAAAGTGGTATACTAATACAGAGTGAGAATCGAATAAAAGGGATACAGAAATATGCAACGAGACATGGTCGAGAATCGAAAAGGAATGTAAACGGGTCCAAAGTAGTTCCCAAATAGAGACAGAGAATGAAAAAGAAGAATCGAAAAAAAAAAAAAGTGAAGAAAAAGATGTCTCCGAGTCATGATCGATATCATAGACCACCTTGCACTCTAATCGTCAGCCCTGCATCAACCACCGCCGGCTACTTGTGCCACCTCTTCTTGATTCCATGCTCGCGCCGATGCAGAGGCTCTTCAGGAAAAACCCAACCCCTGATACGCTTAGCCATTCTCTTCTCGCCCACTTGTGGCGCTGGTATCCAGCCATCTTTTTCTAGACAGTTCTGGCGAGTCAGGGCCCCGGGAGGACCGACGTGCATTTTCGCGCCAACCTGGCCATTGAGGGGAACTTCCTTGGCGAGCATGTGAAGATACCACAGCGCCAGGCAAGCTGTCAGTTCGCCACGACCATGGAGCTCAATGGGAATGGGCCGCGAGAGCTCTAAGAATCCAAAGTAAGGCTTGTTTGTCGTGCCGGCCCGCACACATACCAGCTCAATCTCCGTAACGATGAATCCGTAGCGGCAGCTGTGCTCGCGCATGTGGCGGTGCAGGTGAGAAAGACCCTGCAGGTATTCAACCTGCCGGTGGGGCTTGTCGACGCGCATGCCCGTGTTCCAGCGATCAAACGATTTGACCAGTCCAACTACTCGGCCACGGCCGTCGCCATAGTAAAAGTCCTGATTGTGATGGTCATGCTGATACGACGAAATAAATTCGGGTTGACGGCGTCCCTCGCGAGGCTTTTCCGCTCGCATGCAGACATGTGGCTGGCCTTGGGCAACCTTTATCGCAGAGTTGACCTTTGTGGCGTAGAAATCATTGCATAGATCGTGCAGAACAGATTCATTCTCGGGCTGAAGATGGCCGGGATCATAGCGAGGCGTGGGCAGCGCAGTACGGGCAATTTCGGTACGGAGCAGCTGGGGAAAGTCTGGGATACTCTCAATCGTTTGGAGAGTGAAGTCGGCCCAGGAGCGCAGATTGCGGATATCCCACCAAAAGTGGGTATTGTCACCACGCATGAGGGTATTAATTTGGCGCACCAGCGAAGGAGTGGGGTTCGGAGCAGTCAAAAAGTCCAGGAGGGTAGTGGTCGACATTGTGCTCGCGGCTGGGTGGTATTGGAGCTCAGTCGGGAGAGAGTATTCCTGGTACGAGACTCTCTGGCTAGGGGCAACAGGAGCAACAGGAGCAACAGCCGTAGCAGCGGCACGCATATACTCTGGCATCCCTTGTACAGTGGAGGCATGAGGAGGGAGACTGAACGGCAAGGGCGCAATGTACGCAGGCAATTGTCGATAAGTCGGGAAGCCATATCGGCCAAGCAAAAAGCCGTCGAGGCTGGACGCGGATGTGGAGCGAGCATGGGCACCAGACGAAGAGGATGCGGAGCGAGCTTGGGCTGTCGACAAGGCAATGGGAGACTCTAGAGCAGAATTAGGGGTACGGGCATTGAATATGGGATTGCCCACCCCCGGCGACAATAGGTTCACACAATCTGGCGAATCGACGACGCTACGTGAGACACTCGGACGTGCAAGGCTCATCATGGATCCAGGAGGGTTGGAGGTACTGGAAAGCGCTTTGCGATGACGCTTTACAGCTGGGCAAGGTTGCTCAAGCTCCTGATCCTGTGGTCGGATCTTGGGCAAAAGGGGAGGCCCATGGTTTCTTATGGGAGATTTGACAGGCGTCGTAAAGGCCGTTTGGACAGAGTCAGGAGATGAATCACTTGAACGGCATGAGGAGCTAGAAGTGGTTCGACTATGTGTACTGCCATCCAATATCAAGGGCATTGCTTGCGCTGGAGGTGTCGCAAGGCGATAGTAAAATGGACTGTATGGAGTTGACATTTTTCCTAAAGCGGTAATTGGTCAGCCCACAGCTTTGAGGGCGATGCTGAAGTGACATCAGTGCTTTAAGGTGCAAGAAGGCCAGAGGGAAGTCCAACCTAATTTACCCGAGAACACTTAGGCGAAGACAGTAGGCCCTGCTTTGGCGTCCGATGTCGTATGGTAGCCGTCAAAGGGTGAACAAGAAGATTCAGCGCGTTCTTAAACGATTGAAAGGAAACATGAAGAGTGTCGTGTCTCAAGGTTGGTATCCAACCACGCTCGTGATTGCCGTCCAGTCTGAGTTGGAATCCTGAGATGCGACCTGGATATCATCACCACGAGGGGCGTTGTGGGACATACTTATGTCTCCAAGATGTTGACATGATACAAGCGCATCCGAAAGCCTCAAAAGGTGGATGCATCTGAAACATGGGGAAAGAATATTTCCGACAACCATATTGAAACTGAGAAAAGAAACAATGCTTCACGGAATCCAAGAATAAGATTGCTGAAACGACCCAGGGTCTCTTCTGTGAGACCACTCAGCGAAAGGACGCGCGCGACCCGTCGGAAGCATCTTGCAGAGAAGCGACCATAAGGTCACACTTTCTATTTTCTGCCCTCCGCTGTAAGGCCATATACCTGGCCCATTTCTATTTGGGGTGCCAGAAGTACAACGGAATACCAAAGCAAAAGGCCATGTTGAGAATGAAATTCCCAGAAGAGAAAGTAAAAAGAAGGCAATAGGCCCAAAACGTGGCCCACGCTGCGAGTTTCATCTCACGAGGCGCCGAGATCTAGGAACAGGTGGACATGACAACGTCGGGAACGCTTGTGCAGTCGTTGCGACCTGCATGAAAGATCAAGGGCATATTTGCAAATGAGTGGACAAGAGACGCCAGGGGCGATTTGAGGTGCAAAGATATCAAATCGTTTGTTCAAAGTTCGATAGTAAAGGTGAGGCTCGGCGCGTGGGTGACCGTTGTTGATTGGTTCATGGCCCTTTAGCGCGATGGTTGCCGCCCGGCACCGCTTTTGCGGGGTGACATATTGTGAAGAAGCTTGCTTTTTGCGTCTTATTATTTTTAATTTTTATTTCCCTTCAGGGTAATTAATCGCACGATGTGCATAACAAGAATAGCAATCATTCTTGAAAAAGCTGATCAATCGGACTTAATGTTGATTAATTTTGACGCGCGACATGCGCCCGCTGGTTAGGCTCTCATGTGTTTCGTGACTTCGATTGTCCCATGTTCCCATTTTAGTTCTCTTGAATCCCGAAAGGACCGTGCGGTGCAAGTAGCCAAAGCAGGATCGGGAATTATCAGATTTAAGGTTGAATATATCGATCGCTAAGGCAGGTACGCGTCGAGTTGAGCCAACTTGTCTAGACATCTTGATCATCTTTCACCAGCTCTAATGTTCTCGGCGAGCCAAGCACAATCTTGCCTAAAGGCCCAAAACCCTGGCTCCTTGCCTACACGTTCAGGTTAGCAATGCCTCAAGCATTATCGCTTATGCTGCTCCCAAGTCAGACACGGAGCGCGCTGTCTAGATAAAAGCCCTCTCATTTCACTTCTGAAACGCCAGCTCGACGTTATGCTGCCACCAATCTGTCCAGTTGACAACTTTGTGGCACCTTCTAGCTTCTTCAGCCGCAAAGACTAGAGCATGGCTACGAATGACATCCTCCAAAGTGCATCCCACATAGCGAACCTGCGCCTCTTTGACGTCCAAGCACTGATTCTTCACAGCCTCAATTGCCGAAACGAACTGAGACGCCAATCCATCATCACCGCCACCATGACCGCCGCCTGCTTGACGAGGATGATATGTCTTTGTCTTGTTTGAGGCGAAGCTATGAACCCGTATCACGTTACTATCGTATTCAACCTCGCCCTGATCGCCGTAAACTCGACCTCTTCTTTCGCATATCTTTTCTGTGAAGGCAATCATGTGCAGAGTGGCTGTTTTGGCGCCCCGATCTCTCAATTTCCCAGGGATCCCGTCGGTAAAGTCCGGAATAGGGTCGTCTTCCCATTCTATTGTGACGAACTGATCATCGCACACATCGTTGCCAGCATCGAATACGCACCTTCCAAACCATGGTCGACCTTCGATCTCTTGCGCACTCATAGATGGGCTGTGATCTTCCGCAAGAGATCTGAGCAGCTTACGCTCCGCAGCATCAAGCCCATCTCGCTGCATAATGTCTTCAATGTCAGGGCTGACTATCTTCACGGGCCAACCAGTGTTGCCTTGCCGGAGATTGCGATCGAGATAAATCTTTTTAGCACTATACTGGCATTGCGATTCGGCCGGACAAGACAGACAGTTGGTTGCATCGCCCGCACTAGCTGGTTTTCTGGAAGGTTTAAAATGCACGAGGTGACCTGTAGAGGACACTCGAACCGGCAAATGAGGAGGGCGCTTTGAACCTGACGGTGGTGAGGACAAAAGCCAGAGAAGAAGGTCAATATCATGACAGCTTTTTGTCAGCAGCGAAGGTGCCGTTGTTGATTCCTTGCGCCAATTACCCCTAACCTTTTGTTAACCCAAGCATCCATAATCCATTGACAGGCCCCACATACCTCACGTAACTGTGCGAGAAATGCCACCACCCCACAGGCTCAGTGTGCTCAATAGAAATCAACTCGCCAACGACCCTCTCTTCCAGAAGCAGTCTGCGTAGCAACATATTATGTGGGCTGTAACGCAAGACATGTCCAACTGCAAAGATGGCGGACGGGTCAGAGCGCGGACCCGACGGCAAGAGTGAACTGTAGATGCGCAGACAATCTTCCAGCTTTGTAGCCAAGGGCTTTTCGCTCAGAATATGGAGGTTTAACGGCGCAATTGCTGTAATAATCTCGACGTGAGTTTCGTCCAGCGTGCAGACAAGAACACCATCGACTCCGTCTGGTACCTTCTCCCCGGCAGTTTGTCGTTTTCTGCGAAGTTTCTCCCACTCTAGCCACTGCTCCCAACTCCCAAATTCCTGGCCCTCAGCTGCAGTGCTCTCGCCCCAAATGTATTTCCCCCCGAAAGCATGCCGTTTAAATTTGATAGGTTCGGCAACGGCCACAACTTTCCCGGCTGTTGAGTCTCTGATGGCACGGGCATAAGAGTTTCCACGAGAGCCAGCACCAATAACCAGTATTCTTGGAGGATTCTCGGATCTTGAAGGTGATGCAGGTGGTTCGCATTCGGGTATTGTTTGTTTGGAATCTGTACTAGGAGTCGTTGCTGTGTCAAGCACGCTTTGATTTTTACCCATTTTCGAATCGAAGAAGCCCCTGCAAAAGCACAGAAATCAATGAGCCAATTCAGGACATCTTATCATGAGGACATGAGAGCAAATGCATCTTTAAATGCGATTGGTAAGAGTCCCAAAAATGACAGACGTTAGGCAGCTGAAACCCTCTCTAAGAATGTGGTAGCGGAAGGTGAGAGGCTAACCAATCATCCCCTCGCTGAATGTCCGCTGATAAATTCCCCGCAGTCGTATCGATGCTTATCTACCTTAGTAGCCTAACCAGGCCTGGTGAGACCCTCGCTAGACTTCGTTCAACAAGCAGCCTACGAGGTAGTGTGGGCTAGGCACGGGCACTCCGCGAGCTATCTCGCACAAACCAATCTCGTCACACAAACCTCCGTTGCGGTCTGGCAAAGCATAGCAATAAGTTATGATGTCGACCACGAGATCCGAAGACCCTCTTGTTTGGATAGACTGTGAGGTAAGAACTGGGAAGATGAAAACCAACATTGACTTGCCATTGCCGCCAGACCTTCTATCTTTTTCTTTGGATATTTGAGACCTTTGGTACTAACGCATGATCCTCCCGAAAATTTAGATGACAGGGTTGGATTACGAGAAGGACTCCATTCTCCAAATCTCCTGTTTCATCACAGACGCGCAGTTAAGGCTGTTAGATGAAGAGGGATATGGTGCAATCATTCATCATGACAAAGCAGTGCTAGATTCCATGAACGAATGGTGCATCAAAACACATGGAGCTACTGGCCTGACTGCTGCAGTTTTAACCTCGACAACCACGGCGGAACAAGCCGCGATAGAATTGCTTGCCTATGTCAAGAAATATGTGCCTCAACCCCGCAAGGCAATGTTGGCAGGAAATAGTGTGCATGCTGACAAGGCCTTTCTTTGCAAAGCGCCCTACAATGCTGTGCTCGATCATCTACATTATCGTATTTTAGATGTTAGCTCTCTAAAGGAAGCTGCGCGGAGATGGGCTCCTGCACCCGTCCTCAACGAGATTCCTCAGAAAAGAGGGATTCATGAGGCGCGACAGGACATTCTGGAGAGCATCGAGGAAGCTCGGTTTTACCAAGAAGCCTTTTTTTCCGGTTAGAAAAATTTGATGGATTCTTGAGAAGCCCAGAAGAAAGTAAGATGTCAAAAATAAAGCAGGAGCTTGGCGAGGACAAAGATCATCGATGCCTCCATGATTTTCAATATACTCTTGGGTGTGTTGCTGGATCTGTTTCATTTTGTTTCGTTGCCGCAATATATCCCTGTCTGCATGGTGGAACGTTATAATTCTAGCTTGATTATCAATGAGAGAAAAAGCGCCGAGCAAAATGTGGCGGGGCGAGGAGATGCCTCGGCCACTGTGCTAAACAATAACAAGAGTATTTCTCTGAACCAAAACATGATCACAGGGCCAATGAAAAAGTTTGAGCCGTAAGGCTATCCAATCAAGGTCGATTAATCGTCATTTGTATGCCATAGTAATTGAACCAAAATGATTCTGTTTCCAAGTATTTATCAAAGTGCGTGGAGGTAAGGCAGCGAAACGCCATAATGCGAGCCGCCCAAAAGCTTTTGTTGGTTATTGTCATAACATCGTAAGTCGTTATCGTGATCGGTATGCATAAGTCATCAATCGTGAAATAGGTCTCCTGAACTGCAAAAGAATACTTTGCGGGCTTTTTGACGGTGAGGAGTCAAAGGCTCAGGGACTCAAAGACCGCTCGAAAGTCTGAAGCATCTGTTAAGAGGAATCGCATTTGTTATCAGCAAATTGATTTTGATTCCTTAAGTGCACAGTAATTCTTTATACTCACCGTCGGGAGTAGTGAAATATAGAACGTGCTCGCCTCTAGGGCCGCGCAACGGAGTATAATCAGGAGCGAAGATGTACGGGTGCAGTTCACGAAGATAAATTCGACACGAATCTCGTCGCCTGATCCAGGACGAGGACCCCACATACGGTGTGATAAAAGCAGTCCACACCGGACTCCGCTCAAGCTCGCCTTCAAGGACAGAGGCCTCCAGTCGAATGCCGCGGGAGTCTCTGTCTTTGAAGATTCGGAGGGCGTGAAGATACCCATCCTCGTAAATTTGACTGGTAACTTATCAGTTGATGAAAAAAGACAAATTCGGTAGTCACCTTTACCCCCCAAACTCTTCTTTCTCCCCATCTAAAGTGTAGTCGTCAGGACCCACTCTGGACTCAGAATTATCTTGAGCTTTCAGAGAGAGAAATGTGCAGAAAAAAAGGACCATCCCTGAAAGATTGAGTATTGAGTAGCCGCCCTTTGAAAGGGGTTACGAGGGCGGAATGCACCTACGTTCATATGTAGTAAATTTGAGGCTGGCCCAGAGCTCCAGCTTCCCAGTCGAACCGCTCAGCCTTCGAAATTGCAGACATGATTCCACTCGGCGAACAAGCAATGATGTTAGAGGCAAACACGACTCACGCTTCCTAGAACCACTACGGCTGCTGATGGTTGTGCAGATGATTCTGGCTCGGTCATCGCTCTGTCGCCAATGGAGAGAAACGAACAATTCTCTGTTCTCAAAAGGCCTTTCGATCGATCAGTAAGATTTATAGACTCAAAGACAGCCAAAGGACTAACAGTTCAAATACTTTAGCATGATCCTTTGAGACTTTATGCTGCGCCATTGGCATGTCCTTGCCAAGACATCTGGATCTGTCGAGAGTTTAAATATATACTAAGCACAGAGTTGATAGATGAGCATAACTTACGGTTGGCCAGGGGTTTGAAAGACAGTTGTAGGGTGGCGGCCGTCAAAGACTACGCTCGCCCAATGAAAGGTGGCTCCATTTCCAGCCGATGAATGCGACGAGTACGTGGAAAATGAAGTCGTGGTGACTGGTGATATCGGGATCTCCGGTGCTACAGGGGGAAAGGCGTAATCTCTTTCAGAAGACGACGAAGGCGACCGCGGTGACCGCGGGGATATTGGTGAACGGGGCCCGTAGGAAGTTCGTCCGCCTCTGGCTGCTGAGGTTTCAGGCAGAGTTGTTACAATTCGAAACACAAAGAGTCCACTGAATGGGAAACGGAAGGCAACGTACGCTGCATGCCGATTGACAAACGCGAAAAAGCTCCGTCAAGCATCTCTTGTCTGTCTAAAAGACCCCTAATTTGCGCTCGGAGATGATATAATGCCTCGAAGCTGGGTTGATCGCTGAAAATCACTGGGAGCTTAACCCTGTCCTCTCTCGCCTTTATTGTTATTGGATGACAAGACTTACTCCTTCAGAAGGTACAGTAACTGTTCGCTAAAATAATTGTATTTTTCCAAACGGGCATGAAGTCGCTCGCCGTCCTCTTCGCGACAATGATTACGGATATCTGCCCACGCTTGTCGATATGCTATCACGCCGGGATTACTTGTACGTCCCAAGGGAGCTAGCAGTCGAAGTACATCTTCAAGGGTTAGGTTAAGGCTTTGCAATAGAGTATCCAATTCTCGGGCAATCGAGGAAAACCGTCGCGAGTAAAATCGCGTTCCCAGGACCTCTTCCAGCTTGCGCAGTGTCGAGCTGATGGCAAAAAGCTGGCCAATATTGGCGGTGATCTCGCTCGAGTGCTCGGGGATTGGACGCAATAATTGGTTGAGAGCGGAGGCGACGTCTTCTGAAATCTCGGCCGCCGCGATTAATGCTCTGTCCATTCTTCCCGCGTCAACAACATCTGGCTTGTAGACGCACGGACAAGATGAAAATATGTGCCCCGCAATAATTACTGCCCATGGCCGCCCGTATCATCCATTTGAAAATTGCAGCCGGGGGTGGGGTAAAAAGAGATCGATTTAGTGGCGGGTCCCATGAGGCTCTTAAACCCCCATGGTGCCATCGACGTGTCAGTTCAGGCCTCGCGACATGCAATCGAAGCCAATAACAATGTCCCGGGGGGGCTGCAGCTCTCATGCCACTGCCGATGGGGTCTGCAGCGACACACCAGCGGCGTGCACTCAGTTCGACCCATAGGGCCAAATTAGCGTTTCATTGAGCTAAAACCGCCGACCTAGGTAGGTAAGCAAGAAGCAGACCTTGCAGCCCGTTTTCTCGCTGAGGAAGAAGATTTGTTCATCATTGCTCGGTGTCTTCAATAACCCTGTCAGGTGATTTTTTTTTGCCCCATTGCTGCGGTATAATGTAAAGCGCAGCGTCCATTGTATCCAGAAGAGCTCTCTGTGCCATGTGGAAAAAGTCATGGGAACTGGCTTTCTCTTGTAGTCAACATTTCCCGTCTTATTGCAATAGAAAGATGTGCGTTTTTCCCCGGACAAAAGATAGGAATCAATTTTCGCTCAGATCAAGACGCGACGGTGAGGAGGAACGATATGTTACTTTGGAGCGTCGTCTGTGATGCTATGCCGGTGTTTTTGGCAATCTTTCCCTCTGGTTGGAGACAGGTAGTGTGTCTGAGATTTAATGTAGAACCGTGACAAAGCTAAAAGCTTCCACTTTATTTGATAGGTAAGTTCAGTCGTGATCAGCTCGCCCATATCTTTTTCTCACAGGATCCAAAACTACGTGTGCTTCAAGACCAGCGGACTCAACCATTTTATACTCATGCGCTCAGGAGTGTTGCCTGGCTTTGAACTGTTTAGGCATGCCACTTGCAGGTTGCGGCTTTGCCTAACAAGTGGGCTGTGTATGGGGGCGAAGCGAACAGCCAAAGACGGAGCGAACAACACGGCTCCGTGGCCGTCCAAACATAGGCACCAGTTGATGCAGCCGTCAGTTGAAGCTGGTCCCCTTTCACAAGAGCTTTACAGCCTTACCCGCCAGCATTAGTTTCACGATATCCAATCATTCCATTCCTACACCTTTGCTTCGTTGGTGTTAGTTCTAAATGGCTGCGCCAAAACAACGCCGATCCAGGTACAGCAAGCCCATGGGGGCCACGTGGACCCGAAACCTTCTATACCCCAGTCACAGATCTCATGCAATATCATCTTAGCTTTATCGAAAATAAAAATGAGGAGAAACCTCGTTGAAGCATTGGTCAACTAGTATACAGTTTCAACAAAGCTCGAGGGCGACCATAGTAATGCCTTACGAGAATTGCCTTCCCTTTGTCCACGATGACAGGCAACAGAGCACGAAGCGCGTCAACGCGTCAATTATGTGATCGCCTTTCACTCCTCAATGAACTATTGTAGGAAAAGCTCTCCTAGCAAACCGCCCTTAAGAAAAGCCTGCACACCAAGAGCCAACCGTGACATACCCGAGCACCAACCAAAGAAACAAGAGTAAAAGAGACACCCGCCAGCGCAACCCTGTTAAGCCATCACGCTCCTCGTGTGCCTACGAACACGGAAAAAAAGTCAAGTCCGAGGCGTTTGGAGAGGTAAAGTAGATACCAAAATCGGGGCATCTACTTTACGCGGATTCCTCTTCGTCACCTTGCTCCTGCATCTTCCATCATCAGTAAATGTGCTATACGACAGAGGCCAGGGTTCTTACGTAGCGAGCTTTCTCGGCCTCATACCGCTTCTTGTCGGCAGCAGCCTTGTCCTCGTAGGGTCGGCGCTTGTCCTCAGCGAGAGCCTTCCATCTCTCACCAAGGATCTTTCCAACCTGACCTGGGGCAGCGTTAATTTCCTGAAATAAAAAAAAAATTGGCCAGGACTGGACCACCTACCGAAGGCAATGCCAGGGTTCTCATCTCTCACGTTGTCGCGCTGCTCATTGGCAAAAAACATGTAGGCTGAAAGACCACGCTTAGGCGCGTTGGGATCTGGTTTTGAGTCAAAATCAGCAAAGCCCAGAAATTTTTTTTGAGACGCGGAGGTGTGCGCACCCTTCTTCTTTCTGCCATCTCTGGTCTTGCGGGTCTTGGTGGCCTCCTTCTTAGCCATTGTGACTGAAGCTATGGAACGTAAACTAGACGCGTCGCAATTCAACGTTAGCTCGATGTGTCAAAATTCAACCAATGCTAAACAAATTTTCAGCTTGGAAATTGCACATTGACGCGAATTTCCAGTGCCCATGGAGGGTACGGTACAAAGGAGAAAAGGTAGGACCGAAGATGCTCGCGAGTGTTTGGGGCGCGGTCGCGGGTTTGGGGTGTCGCGATCACCACAACACCCGGCCAGCCCAGACCACGAGAATCAGCCAGAAACGCGAAAATTGAGCATACCTGAAATGCCGAAAAGGCGTAAATATCGAGCTTGAAGCTGTGGATGTTGTGTATCTGTAGTCGGAGCAAGCTCGAGTCAGCGGATGATGGGACGATGAAGGAACGACAACAGACGAAGCGCGAAAGCTCGTTCAAAAAGACGTGACGGAATCAGCACTGCACGAGGCTGCAATGCACTGTGGTGGAGAAAAAAAAAGCGCGTCTGGAGCTCAGAAAACATCTAGACCGCCTTCGCGAATCATGTTGGCACAAGCGACTTATGGTACTCACCTGTTTGGAGAGCGACGCGCTGTATGGGCGATTTGTATGAGAGATTGAGGTAGAGTGGGAAGAATAGCAGTGAGAGGCACTTTGTATGAGGGGAGGGACTGGCTGCGGTTTTGGTCAGCCGGAGCAGGCGAGCAGGGCAGGTCAGGTCGGCAAAGCCAAGGCTTAGGAACGACGGGGCTGCTCTGGGTGCTTCTGCGCTGCTTTGGGGGGGAGGGTTGCAACTTACTATGGGCGGCGCGCCCTTTTGGGTTTGGCAAGGTGAATTGGGTGGGCGGGCAACGGGGCGAGAGGGGGAAGGACTGTGTGGACTGCACTGTAGTACGTACTGTGGTGACTTAAGTGTGGACACCTTTGGGTCAAACGCTGACAAGAGCTGACGCTGCCACAACACTGGGGGGGAGAGAGCCAAGGGAAGCGAGAGGGCAACGAGAGGGAATGGAGCCCGCCCGTTGGTGCTTTGCTTGCTAGACGTTGCTACTACTGCGGGCAAGCGCTGTGAATGCAGACTGAGGAGGGAAAGCTGGGAAGGGCTCGCAGGGCCACTGGGACGTCTGGAGGGAAGAGCAACCGAAAGCTCCAGTTCAGTTCTCCACGCAATCAGACTAGCAATGAGACTCGCCGGCCAATCGTCAGCTGTTGTCTAGCCAGCGCCCCTCTCTTTTCTTCTTTCATTGCATTCTTGCTTCATAGCCGGCAAGGGCTGCTTGCTCCTGCTACTGCTAGGCGTACAGTAGCTGACCGACCTTGCCTCTTGGTGGCCCCTTGAGCGACGCTTTGGTGCGGTACTAGAGACCTTCATGACCTCATACCTTCGCGGTCCGAATACGGTACTTGCTACTTTGTACCTCTACTAACTTTTTCGCCCCTGGGATTTTATGCGCTTTCCCCAAGTCTTCACATATGCGGGAACAGGACAATGTCTCTATTATGCTGATTTACTTTAGAGCGTAGACTCCCATACTGAGCGGATCAATCGACGAAGCATGCCAGCTGTAGTTAAAGCCTCATATAAGTTACCCTCACCATGGGATGCTTTTAGACCAAGTCCAGTAGGCGAGCTCCCTGACTGCAGTGTATGAGCAGATCGATTTAAGATTATGCCTTGGAAGGTAGGAGAAGAGGTTCGCCCACCACTACGGAGTAGACCTGCCAGCAACCGAATCCAGCTTTCCTTTGTCGCTATGCATACTTTCTCTTAAGTCCGCAAAATGCAAAGTTAGCGGGAGGGTAACGATGGGATCTCGCAGGTCATTTCCCTCTCTCGTACAGAGGTACGCAGTATCCCTAATCTGGCTGTCGTTCTGACGCGGGCGCATCTTCGGCAATTACGCAGTAACATACCTGACAATGAGAGCATGAACCGCGAAGGGAAAGTGAAGCCCGCGTAGTAGTACTGCATGGGATGAAAAACGAATGTACCTTTCTTTCCTTGCGAAAGTGCTACCTCATTGTTATAGCACGGTCCCTCTACCCTTCATAGAAAGGTGGCTGAAACGGATCGCTGTTCTCGGTACCTCTCGGAAGAGTACTTGCAGCTGAAGTTTTGGCAGGCTTGGAAACTGAGATGGCGAACGGTTGCCCAGACAGTACCTTGATCCAAGGTATCCGGTGGACACTTAAACAGCGCGGCATCACTGACCAACCGTGCATCCAGCGTCGTGGTACGCTGGTAGATCATCCGACATTTCTAACGGGAGAGAACCCCCTCGTACAAAGTTGCGGATGCTGTTTTGTTTCTCATTACTTTTGCGACGGTGTGCAATAAAGCTTAACCGCACAATGGGGTACCAGTGTCCCATACTTCGTACCTCCCCAACTAATTAAAAGCTTTGTCTGCTAACAACTTGACGTGCTGTATTGTACGGATCGGCTCCCTCCAACAACCCGATCACACGATCGGCAGCTCCAGCTTGCGTGGAGTGGAACCTATGGCCGTAAACTGCGCTTCAGGTAGGTACTGAGAGCTCAATAAGTACGGTACGGAGTAGCGTCGTCGTTAACGTATTTCCCAAGCGACCCGGCCACCCAAGCGACCCGGCCACCCAAGCGACCCGGCCACCCAAGCGACCCGGCCACCCAAGCGACCCGGCCACCTGCGGCCAGGCAGATATCTCATACAATTTTACAAGCTTCATATCTCAACATCAATGAATTATTTTAAGTTGAAACTGAGTAACTTGATTCTCTTAGGGTAGATATATCACATGACAATCATCTTAAATATTTTTAGGTTGTTTTGCATTTTATTTCTCAAATTATATATATTTGATACTAAAAATAGTATATAAAATTTTTTTTGAATGAAAAAATTGAACAAACTTCCTATAAACAAGATATCCAGCTGAAATAGTTCTCTAGACCCCATGATAGAAATATCCATTTAAAAACTACAATTGTTGTTGAGATATAATCACATTTTTTGTATAGAATTCTGCCTGGCCGGGTCGCTTGGGTGGCCGGGTCGCTTGGGAAATACGTTAGATTTACATCTACTTGAGACCGATCTCTTATCAGCTTCCTGGGAAGATGTTGTTGAAATCTATGTTTAGTATTTTTTTTTCCCTTTCATTTCTTTTTCAAGACGATAAGGATGTAAAGATTCGACTCAATTGGACATTGATAGGAATAGATTGTTCATGTCAAAAGTTCTCCTCATCGTCCAGTACCAAGTCTTGAAGTAATTCGTTTCCAGCCCAGTCGACACCGCTTCCAACAACAGCAGCCGCGACGACGCTCTTCATTATCCGCCATCTAGATTTCTGAACGCGACACTCTCTTTCGAGCTCATCTAATTGCACGATAGCCTCTTGCCTCTGTGTGAGAATGTCATGTGTATTCGCATCATCTGCCAGCCGTATAATTGAGCTTGCAAGATCTTGGTTTGTTGTTGTCAGAGTAATCTGCTCTGCTTCTCTTCTGGTCAAAGTGGTTCGGGTTGACGAAAGCAAGGAACAGAGGTTGGAGTGAGCGATCGAAAGGATATCTCTTCGATCAATCAGAGGAGCCAAGTCTCTGTAACATTATCAGTCTGATGCATTTTATGAACCAAGTAAACGATTTGAGATCATATACCTCTCTGCAGGAGTGCCATTTGCACCCGAATGCACCGCTTTCAATGTTGGGTCTGTGATGATGATACTCTCTGCTATTTGTTTCTTCAAATTATAGCTTGCCCTGGCGTCCAATAACTCGCGCTGCGCAACTTGCAGCTGCGCCTCAATGCCATCGTCTGGCTCATCCATGACATCTGCCCAAGTGTTTAGTTCAAGTTCAAAAGACATGAATTGAGCACATATAAACCTGATGAATTCGAATACGTTGCTTCCAATAGACGCTGCTCAAGCTTGATTGCGCCTAATCTATCATAGAGACCTAATGCGTCTTTCTCCAGCTCCGTGAATGGAAAATCATTCTCGCTGTCCCTTCGAGAAAACTCCACAAAGGAATCGTCATACTGGTTTTTGCTCGAATCCGGCGAGGATACATTTACGTTTTCCAAGGCTGACATCTTCGGGAATGCTCTCAGGTTCAATAGAAAGCATATCCGAAAGACCTAAATTGCTGTCTAGGCAGATTGCCTAATGTCCCCAAAGTTGTGTCCTCTAGATCAGCACGACGAGCATTATTTTCTCAATTTTCAATTTCACGTTGCTCGCGTTGCTCTCGTCGTTCTTTCGCGCCCCGTGATACTCTTTGGTCGGCTAAACGCCCAACTATTGGGCCTTACACAGTAAGTGTTAACAAATGTGGCCAATTACCTCCGTACTTAGTGACAAAGCCACAATTTGTGGCTGAACGTTTATCGGGGTCGCGACCTCGCTTCTGCCTGGGGCGTCATTTGATCTCCCAGCTATCTAAGTTACAGGTTACAGTTTCAAACTCCATCGGTCGTTAAGTGACTGGGAGGTCATCATAGGCATTTTGTTGAAGGAGCTGCAGCAAAAGGAGGTGATGTCGCTGCAGATATATATTGCTCACACAGGCGATCGTCTACAAGCCGATCCGGTATCATTTACTTCGTGAGTTATCCTGTTGCTTTGTATATCCGCTCAAGCTTATTCCATTATCACAAGGTCTGAATCTCTGACTGCTAATACTCAACACAGTTTCGATGCTTTGCAAACATGGATATCCAAAAATGCGCCGGTTCAGCCGCAGAACCAAATTTTAATGAGCTCTCGCGGTAAACAGGTCAAGCTCCAAACTCTCCTCACAGAAGTATGATTAGTCCCGTCCACGTAGGTCGGAAGATTAGCTTACAAGTTATCTAGAAAGAAATATTCGTATACGACCGGCAGTATATTGCGACGGCCCCAAAAGGATCTCCTGGGCCTTCAATCCCGTCCACCATAGTTCCATCTCCATTTTCCCCTACGAACCCCCCAGATCGACTTGCCAATCAGAATGACCTTCAGGCCTGGAAAAATCTGTTCAAAGAGCGGAGGGACTGGACCGTGGACCTTCTCAACAAATGTACTTCTATGACAAATTCTATTCACGAGCAACGGGAGAGGAGTAGCATCATCTACCGCGGGATAAATGTCGGAGTTGACAACCTTCATTCGCACGTTCGAAGCTTGCAGCAGAAATATGCTGATGCCAAGGCGTGGGCTGAAGATCTGCTACGTAATCATCGCGAAGTCATTGAAGGCTGGGAGTCTACTTTGTCTAAATTAGAGCAAATTCATGCAAAAGGAGGCTTTCAGAGGGTCATCCTTGGTCGCGATGCACCGGGAGATGAAGAGAGGTCGGCCAAGTCTGGGGATCAGGACATCATTACACTAGTCGATTTTATTAATGCCGACGCCGCCAAGAAAGCAGGATCACTGAGTTCAACAATCATTGATCGCTTCAACAAACGCATCGTCGAGTTAGGGGTCGTTGTCGAACTCATCCAATCCGAAAGTCAAGAACTGCACGAGACCGTGAGCAAGGCATCTTCCAACTCAGTTTTCGAGATTGCCGAAGAGTCAGTACGATTGATCGAGGATGTGGAAGTGGTTACAAGAAAGGTCTCGTCGGATTATGAACATGTGTTGGGGCTTCAAGCATCATCAAAAACAATTTCACAGGCATCCAAGATGGCTCTTCTCCACACGCGAAACTATTTGCCCTCTCTGTCTGAATCGGCTGTTGAGATTGGTCATATGCTGCGCCAAGCGGTTGAGCACAAGAATGCACTAACAGAATCGACTATTCGTCAAATGCAGACTATCTCAGCCATTGAATCCATGCTTGCAAATGTTCACTCTCAGTTATCGTCTTTGGATCTCACCCCTGATGGAGTTTCTGCTCTTGAATATCTCACCCAGCTCTCCCGGTTGCCTCTCACGTACGGTGCCGTTTTAATCGAGGCCGTGCGTCGTAGCGAATGGTCTGAGAAAATCAAGATTGATTCATCTGCTCTGGCAGAGGAAATTGCCTCCTTTAAGGAGGAGGAGGAAAGACGCAGGAGGAAGTGGCTTAAAAGCATGGACGGCTTCATCTCTACCGACATCACTAGTGGCAGACCAATCGGCGTCGAGCTGAACCTTCAAGGGGATGAAGATACAGGGTGGCCATCGACTTCCCGCGAAGATGTCAATTTATATATTGAGGAGCTACAACATCTTGGAGATATGGAAGAAACCGTGAAGGAGTTGTCACAAGCAGCTAATAGCCTTGATCGCCCAACGCGGCAACAGACGAAGGTAGCAAAAGCCTTCAAGATGGGTAGTGTTCATGACTTTGGAAAAGGCTCCATGCTAATGCGTGGAGATACCAATAACATCAGAGGTTTAAGAGAAGAAAAGCTTAAACTTGAAGAGAAATTGAAGGGCTCTGAAAGTCGAGTGCGGAAGTTAGAAGATTTACTTCATCGACAAAGCCATATTAGCCGCAATGCCAGTGGTAACTTGTTCCAAGCATCGAGCAGCCCGAATCCAGAACAGCAGTTGCACAATTTTAGTCAAAATATTGGCAACTCAACGCGGCCGCAAGATGCGTTTTCGCGTCGATCTTCGGTCTCTTCCCGCAGATTTTCAGCGAATCAAGTCCCCGAAGATAAAGCACTGCTGCAGCGAATATTGAATTTGGAAGCTGAATTGCTGGCGGAACGTGAACACCACGGAGAACTACGTAAAGAAGCCAACGCAAGAACCGAGGCGGAACAGCACATCAAGGCCCGCATCGAGGAGGCAACCTCGATCAAGAATGATTTGCTGGGAAATTTAGAGGCGCAGCAGCGTGAATTCTCTGACGAGCGGAAGCTACTGAATGAAGAGCTACGTAAGCTGAAGCATAGAAATGAGGAGCTCGAAGACGAGCTAGACAGAGCTCTCGGCAGCCGCGATAACGCTAGATCTGGAGTAGATCAGAGATACAGATCACTCGAGATGGCTGTTGATGAGGCTCAACAAGGAGCAATCGATCAGGCCAAAGAAATGCAGAAGCAGATTGATTCGCAGCAAAAGGAGGCTGAAAGGCTCAAGGTAGAAAATGGATCGATTGTCGAAGCAATGACCCGCCTTCGTGCCCAAGCAGACGAGCTTCAAAATCAGGTTAGCGACAATTTACGCGATTATGAGCAACATCTGTCGGTTCTCCAAGAGACTTTTGAATGCCTTACTCCAAAAGATAGAGCACCCGCAGGCTTCGCCGCTATTCTGAACGAGGTCTCACGACTCGCAGAGCGAGCGGTCGCTTCTATTAGGGGTCTCGAAACAGACTTGTCGATGGTTCGTCAAGACTCAGAAATGTACCAGGAGCGAATTTGCAAGGCTGAAGCAGAAAGAGATTCTCTTTCGGAGAAACTCGACAAGGAAATTCAAGTTCATTTTGAGGCTCAAGATCGACTGGCTGAAGAGCAAGCACGGACTTCATCTCTCTCCGCCTGCCTGGAGGATGAGCGCAACGAATTGCAAAATCTCCGTTCGAAATTCGCGGATGGCGAGACAGGCTCAGAAACACTGAAAGCCAGGATTCTTGCAGAGGAACAGAAGGTCGCTGATTTGTCCGAGAAGCTTGCCGTGGCAGAAGCGCACAGCGTGCATCTCAATGAGGAGACTAGTCTCTGGCGAAGAAGGGCCGAGGAAGGTAATCAGCAACTGCATCTCTTGAAGTCACGACTTAATGGTCGCACTTCACGTGCAAAACATCTATCTCAGCGACTTTACTCGCACAATGAACGCTTGGGTCAACTGCTTGAATCTCTTGGATTTTCTGTCACACGTCGCGACAATTCCATTGTTATCCAAAGAGTCCCGAGAAGTTCAAGCGCCGCCGCTTCTACAAACGACTTGGAGGCTTCCAGGAATCCTAGTCTGTCTAGGTCAATACCCGCAATGCTGCCATGGCAGGACGAAGGAGAGCTTGATCTGCTAGCTTGGATGCAAGCTGAAGACGCGCAAGATGAATCAACTCAATTCCAGGCTTTCCTCCAATCAATTGACAGATTTGATCTCATCGTATTTTCAGAGGTTATAACGAAGCGTATCAAAGAGACTGAGCACTTGGCTCGAAAATGGCAAAGAGAAACACGGTCTTATCGCGACAAGGCTCATCGGGCTCAGGCGGAAGCGCATGGAAAGATTGCGTTTCGTTCGTTCAAGGAAGGTGACCTTGCTCTCTTCTTGCCAACAAGGAATCAAGCCACAAGACCCTGGGCTGCTTTTAATGTTGGAGCGCCTCATTATTTCTTGCGAGAACAGGATTCGCATAAATTGAGCAGCCGTGACTGGCTTCTTGCGCGCATATCTCGAGTTGAGGAGCGAATTGTCGATCTCTCCAAATCGATGGGCGGCGCTGCGACCTCTACAACTGCTGGTAGCGACCGACGATCAATTGGGGAGACTAGTGAAGGTGCCATTTCATTTGATGATGAAAACCCTTTCGAGCTATCGGACGGATTGAGGTGGTATCTACTCGATGCGTATGAGGAGAAACCTGGTGCCCCAACAACTCCAGGGCTGGGCAAAAGCACGGTGGCCAGCGCTCATGTCGATGCCAAGGGAAGTATCGGGATCAAGAAGCCAGCAATCAGCGGGGGTGTTACCAAGACCCTAAGCAAGAGCCTTGATAGCCGACGAAGTAGTTCAACGTCAAAGAGAAGTGTCATTGCGCCTATCTCAGCCGCTGGTCCAAGCTCAGCGGAACCTTCGAGAGGAAATACTTTGGGTGGACCCCAGGCAGACAATGCATCGTCGAGGGATCCTGACACTTTGGAAACAGCTGCAAAGGGAGGTGGTGGCATTCAAGAGGTTCGAAACGATCTTCTGTGGGGTCCTTGACCAGCCAACCGAACTGACGGATACTAGGCGGAAGTTCGAAATGAGTCAATATCAAGAGCATCGCCGGCGCCTACAGGAGAGGCACAATCTCGTCCAGCGGAAAGATTAAAATCTCACCTTTGGGACTCACTCTGGTCATTGGATCTCAGTCTGGAAAGCGGAAGGCAGCGTCGCTGACATTGCGATTACATTACTCACATATATTTTTTCCTTTTTACTTTTCGGTTTATTCTAAACTCATTGGAGGCGTTTTTTTGGCACCTGAGCGTATTCCGCCCGCTTTCGGCAATTCCATCAGTATGGCACTTTAGCTAGATACCCAGTGTTTGTTTGATATGTCAGAGTGCTTTCATTCTATTTTAACTTCATCCTACTTTTCTCAGCCGTCGGGAATTGTTTCATGTCTGCTACCAATGGGATTGGCCGCATTTTCTTTGCGCTGTCTTCTAGATACTCATTCCTTTCAAGGGCCGGTTCTCCTTTCTTGGTCAGATAAAATACGCACTTCCCTAATATCATCAGACGTAGCTATGAGAGTGGCAGAAAATTAATATAACACAATTTCCCTCGTTATTTTTCGTGATTGTAGTTATTGATTTCTAGCAGTGGTGAAGCAGCGAGCAAATGTCTATGACTCTGAATACAATGCATGATGCCAACCCTAAAATGTCCCAACGCGTCTCTTTTGAACGCCGATGCAGCTTTAAATAAACTTATAAGAATGCTCTGTCCTCTTGTCGCTCGCCGCTAATGAACGCTATTATTGGATTGGTCGCTCGTTTGTGGATTCGGTCTCTTCCTCAAGTTATCAGTGTTCTCTGACGACTCAGCCGTTGAAGAAATAGTCTGGCTCAGGCTGAAGCGGCGAGGCCGTCCACTTGGCCGTTCCGTCAAGCTAGGTGCTCTTGGCCGCCTTCTTCCATGCGCTCGGCCTCCAACGACCGGTACCTCGTAGGCTGCAGATCGCCAGATGTAGAGAAGAACATCGTAAACAAGGAGGATCGCCCATGGTCCGATGGTTAACAATGCGAATAGTATCTAATTAAGCAGCAGAAGAGGTACAATTAGCAAAAATCCTGCGTAGAAGCGCTATCCTAAAGGACGCTCTGAGCGCAGCACTCACAAATAAACGGACTAGCCATCCCTCGACTGTGTTGAGATGGGCCGGCAGGATCGAGAGCCACGCCATTGTGGCCTTTTGAGGGTTGATGGGAAGTAGTGGAGCAAGCTTATTCACCGGCACTTATATTCTAACCTCAATTGACGTAAATTCTTCTTTTATGAAACTTAATAGAAGTAACGGAACTGGAGAAAACAACGTTCTTTGGAAAATCAAACAAGCAATCGGGAAAGTTGAGTGAAACTGTACATAATCGCTGACAAGTGGTGTGTTCTTCTCCCGCATCCGAGCGACCTCCGAAGGAAGGAACTCAACAGTTCTTAGTCAACCCACTATGAACAAACAAGGGCTCAGCAATGGAACGTCAGCATATCAACGCAAGCCGACATGAGCTATTCCGTGATTTTACCATGGCACAGGTTTCTTATATCTGGAGTAAGCGTTGAAGAAAATGCCATGATTGACCGCTGCGAAGTATTGTTGATCAACACTCTCAAAGGGGCACAAACAAAACATTTAACATAATAGGTAGGTTTATACCTGTAAGCTAAACAGCTTCCGGAAGACCAAGACTCACTATATGACAATGAAACGCGACAACTTTCACATGATCACGCGCATCATATAATGCTACAAGGTACAATGCAGAAGAACAATACAGTTCACAACAATGGATAAGAAACACTCGACGTCCGACATCACAGACGTTCCAGAGACGCCGCCAGATGGAATCCTGGTACAATTTGCATAAATGGCAGCGGGTTCGGGGGAGAAGCATCTATACCCTGTTACAGCCATACAAACGGCGCATTTGAGCTTATAAGGGTTGAATCTTTCAGCGCGTTTGCTCAGGGCAAGACCATGCAATGCAAATCCACGAATCAAAGCTTTTCAGCATTCCAGGCATCAAGCCTGCACATCCCGAGCGTGACTCTGTCCTCGCCCGACTGGGCGACTGGCATGGCTGCCTAACAGCCTTGCTCCCAGTTCGCCATGCAATGCCCTCCTAGCATGTTCAACATAGCCGCACGGCAGGTAAATCATGTGCTTTGCTGACTCTTAACGCCAGCAATATCTGGCCTGGGAATAGCTAGAGCACAATCTACCATTCTACATGGGCCTTTTAAAACTTTTGATTCTCTATCACTTTGGATACATTTCTCCTAGCTAACCCGGATGCTTTACACTTTGCAGAAGCTCAGAGGCGAGACTCTCTTGGACAGACCCTCCTTTCCGTCTCTGATCCTGAGCATGTGCAGTTCAGCTACTGCATACTACCGCACTCGGCACTCAATCTTCTGAGAGGCTTTTGACAGCCTGCTGTCCGTCTACACACTTGGGTTCTTTTAAGACTTTGACACAAGAATGCCAGGGCCAAGATTCTTGAATAATTTCCCTGCTGGAAACGCGACTATCGTGTTCAACATCACAGCGCCAAGCAAACATGACCAGCAGAGCATCACCTTTCCTTTCCACAATCTCAACCAAGATATACTCAGCCAGCGATGTCCTCTGCTCGCTGGCGCTTTTGAGGAGGAAAAATCAGGCAATGCCCGTCTCGAGCTCAGTACCGAAAGCCCTCTCGCGGCTGAAGGTCTCTTGCGATATCTGTACACTGGAGATTACTTAAATAATGTCGAAGACGCCGCTGTAGCAGACACTGGACTGTGTGCTGATGCTACGGAGACGTATGTGGAAATATCCGGTCTCTCAGATGAGGACGACGACGAGGATGCAGATTTCCCGGACTCACTCTCATTGCATGTGGAAATGTGCCGACTGGGCTTCATTCTGGACATAAACGCACTGCAGAAAATGGCGCGGTGGCGCTTTTCTGGAACCCTTGAAGAATCATGCAGCCATCCGCACCCTCCACCCGGTCTTTGTGAAGCTATCCGTCTTGTCTACAGCAGCTCCGTTCTCCAAGACGACGCCATAAAAGACACCCTAGTCTCGTACTGTGTCGATCGGTATTTGCAGCACCATTTGGGTGACAATGAATTTTTCAAAGACGTCGTCTTCAAGCTCCCCCGGTTTGCGTCCGACTTACGTCTCTGCTGCCGCAAGCAGGACTTTAAAGTAGAGGCTGCCGCCGACATTATTCGGCTTATTTCCCCTGATGACGTGGTAACATTGCCGGAAAATGACCCGCCCAAGGAATGTCCTGCGGTCGATCCGTTCCCGCGCATGAGTATACGCGGAGCTCCCGGCCGCCAGCAAGGTCTACTTAGTCGTTTGTTTTCTGGGGCGGCGCAGTCATCATAATATCCACCATAACCCAGACTACCAGGCTTCCGAAACGTTGCTACCGGTTTACCCTTCCAATCACTGATCAAGACAATTCTTTGCTAGCATTTCCCTTGACACTGCTGTCCGCTATTGCCATTGGATGGTTCTAATGCTAATGGACTCCGATGATTTCCCCAAAGTCATAACCCAGGTCTAGCGTTGCATAAATTATCGGGCTCACTGCATAATTACTTCTCTTATCCTGCGTTTAAATATAAGACGAACCCACGAGCCACAACACGAATTATAACGAAAGAGGCGTCAGGAAAAGGGGCTATACTCCAAGAATATCATAAGCTTCGTAGCCCGATTATTTTGCTCATTCAGATCATTTTGTTTTTCCACGGGGAACAAGGCGTCATTTATATGAACTGTCTGGGTATCAACATTAAAACAACAAATACGCTTTCATCCAGTGGCGCCATCGTCTAGCACCAATATAATCAAGTTCTTCGCCGTAAGGCTAATATATCTCCAAGTTTGACTTCATTTTTCCCGCCCCAGCCCGCAACCCCGTGCTCTACAGCCGGCCGTACCTGCGCGTACCACGGCCAGGACTTGCGATCCAGCTCCTCGGCAGACATGACTGGTGCCCATGATGCATATAGCAGATCAAGCGCCTTTAGCAGAAGACCCAAATTGCGCTCCTTTTCGGCGGCAGCTGCAGATGCTTGTCCTTGTCCCTTTCGTTGTGCTCTCGATTGCCCTTCTCTCGGAGACCCCGTAGTAGCGGTAGAGCCTTTGGCATGTGCTCCGCTGGCAAATGACCGGAGCAAGTAATCTCTCGCAGACTGAGGCGTGTATATCGGTAAATGTCCATAAGTAATACTGCCTTTGCCTCTGTCTCTGGTGGCCGTGCCACCGGGCTTGGTGTTTGACGCTTTGAGCGCTTCTAGATCTAGCCCCCATAACGCGGGTGCCCGGTTCTGGTCCTGCTCCTGCTCCTGATGCTGGCTTTCGTGCGCGGGCCCTGATGAGCTGTCCAATGAAGCATTCTGTTCCTTTTGAGACGCATTATCACCACTGTGCAAACCAGACTCCTCCTCGTTCTGTTTTGTCTCTTCGCCAGCACCATTGTCGGACGTACTTTTTCCAAGGCCGCTACTGTCAGTCTCATAATCCCATCTGCGCAACACACAAATATCCTTCCCCATGACTCTCACCACCGGCTGTCCCTGTCCCCACCCTTCCTCTTCCGCGCTCTTTCCCGATTCCAGTCCCAAGCTCACCGCCCGACTACGACTGCTTATGCTCACGTAGGCCTGCGCAAGGCTCAGCCGACTCGACAGCGGTTGTTCAGGCATGGTGTATTTCAGCAGTACCACTGCAAATGCAAGCACAAGCGGTGCGCGGTTCGTGTGCAGTATTGTGTTCGAGAGCTCTTCTTCGGTCATAGAGGTTGGCATCTCGGGCAGTCGCAGCGCGTCTTCTTGCTCCTCTTTTTCGAGGCCCGGTAGGTTCCCAGATATCGACGAAGAGAAGGTGGACGCGCTGGTTTTCCTGCGTTTCTGCCCGTGGGAAGCGCCGCTAGATGGTGTAGCATCATTATTTGAAGATTCAGTGGCGGTTGGTGCGCTTCGTTTCTTCGAGACGCGCTTTGCGGCGTTGAGGATCTGCTTGGCGAGTTTCTCGTCATTGTTGAATATGTTTTGCAACACGGACAGGTTGTTGTTAGAAGATGATGAAGAGATGGTTGTGGGGCTTCAGGGCGGGATCATAGCAGTGTCAGTAGAGATCTTCTGTGTGTTTCATTTTTGCTCCTCGTTTCTGGCATTGTAAGGGTAGAAGAGAGATGCGAAACGATTCAAAGGCGTGGAGTGAAATGGAGCTTATGTATATTTACATATGGAGGAGTTGAATAGAATAAATTAGGATAGAATGAAAGTCTACAAGTTAGAGGGGTTATAAAATGGAGAATTGGTACCTTGTCAAGCCAGCTTTGCGGAGGTCAGGCATCTTGGCCATGGCCGTGGCTAGTGGCACCTTGGCGTCCTGCGAGAGGAAGCGCAGACATGCTTGGATCTCTGCGGTCGTTGTCATTTTCGGGCGGGACAAGTGTAGTAGGTAGTGGGAATCAATTATTGTTCATGGTAGGTTGGGGTTGGAGGGATAATATCTGGAGTAATGAGTGTGGTGTTTATGAAGGGTCCGGAGATAAGGCGACGCTTATTTACCGACGTCATATATCTAGACTGTGAGGACATCCGAGTATGGATGAGCTACATGGGATGCGAAACAGTGAGCATAAAATCAACCAATCCTTGATAGTCTAATGAAAATTGAGAAGTTATTTGGAATTAATATGGCAGAGATATATTATTGAAGTAAAATACAGTACAATAGCAGGTTCGTGATAACCCGGTCTCTTGGGCAAAGAATGCAAGAAATTTCGAATTGACCATGTTCGGACGCTTCCAAAGCATATCAGAGAAGAATTGACTTTAAAACAAGTAATGATATCCTAAGCTTGCTCCTACGAGCTTCCTGAAGCTTCGTCAGGTGTGTTGCTTTCGGTTCCGTTTACTGGAGTATCCGTGGCAGGCTTGTTCTTGTTTGCGGCAGCCATCTGCCAAGCGGGGATTGATGCCTTGGCTCCGAGAGAGCCTAGGGGAAAGGGGCTGGATGATTCAGGTTTTGTTGCCGCGGCTGGGGCCGCGGGTTGAGAGATGCTGCTGCCGCCTGTTCCTTGCACTGAGCTCACTCCACCGGCCGAAACGGATGGAGTGGCCTGACCTGGGGTATTGAAGCCACTGCCATTTACACTCGCAGTTCCCTGAGGACCAAACATGTTGACGCCGGGTGATTTAGCACCGACAGAGCTTCCACCAAGGCGGTTACCGATGAGAGTTTTCAAACTCATCAGCTCGGTGCTCAGCTCCTGTAATCTGGTGTCTGTATTGACCTTTTGCGCCTCCATTGCTTTGGGAATCATCGTCCTGAGGCTCTTCACCTCCCGGTTAATTCTGTCGCCTTCATCTTCTCGTCGTCTACTCGCAGCTTTCAGCTCGGAGATGACTGTTTCAACTTCTGATAATGCGGAATCTAGCCTGTCCGTTCGTGCTTGCTCTGCTGCTTTGAGTGCCTCGGTGTCTGAGCCGAGTTGGTCTAATAGCGCAAACGCCTTCTCGAATGAGGCGTCAATGGAGGCTTTGTCCTGCTCTAGCTGTGGTGGTGTTGGGGGTGCAATCAAAGGGTAGATATAACGCTTCAACTAGATTAGTCTACCGCCAAATAAACCAGGGTCGTAGCCACCATACCTTTGCGATAACATAGAGGCCATAGGACACTCCACCCATCACGGTAGCCATGATAAACCAGTCTCGCCAGTCCCTGCGCGGAACCCTGTAATCTCGTATGAGTCCAAAGCTCCGTTGATCGGTGCGAGTAGGCTGTGCACTTACTCAGGCGGAGGCGGCTGCCAAAAACCGTTCGGATAGCCTCCATGTCCCCATTGCGGTGGCGGCTGCTGCCGTCGTATCACCTGCTGATTCTGGTATGCATTTCCGGATGCAGATGAAGTAGAACTTGCATCTGTAGGTGGCGGTATTGTCGAAGGGTCTTCACCCGTGCGAGCGAGGGCTTCGGCGATCTCTTCCGACGTGAGATTCTTTGATTGGAGAAAGGATATCCGCCTCTCAATGGGCGACGCCGCGACTCCGGGATCCTGCAGGACTTTGATTCATAAAGTCAGATATAATGTGGTTGCTTAGCAAGGGGCGCTCTGGTACTCACAAGAAACCTAATGGGTCATTAGCAATATTCGGCGCACGTGAAGTTAATTACTAACCGCAGATTCAATAAGGTCCTCGCGAATCATGATGGTGGTCTGGCAAAAATGCCAGTCAATGGAGTAGTCGGCTCAGAATGAAATTATTTCTCCAATATTCAAAATCTGAGCAGTGTCTGGACAGAGCAAGAGTCGAGATTGAAAGCTTAAGGTTGATAATGAATTGCGATAATGGAGCCGTCGGGGGTCGGTTTCCTCCCAAAATGACGGTGGTCGGTGAGCCGAGGCATCTGTCATTCCGCCGGTCTCGTGACTTTCAATCATTCTGATCATTTATATTGAATAGCATGGTAAATATATTTGAAAAATTAAAATCTATATAATTCAATTGATCCTGATAATCTCTATGCACAAATTACTATATTTTGCAGACAATTTTAAATGGTTGCTTAGATAGACCAGCCGACCAATCATAGCGCATCAGGGTTTGTTTACATCAACACACGACCGACAACGCACCCGCCATCAACTGTCATCAACTCCACTACCACAACCGTCCGAACGCTTCCACGGCAAACGCACAGAGCACAATTCGAGCAACTACTTACAATCGCCCTTGAATAACTCGAGTATTTCATCCGGTGGGAAGGAGCCTGTCTTCGGCAACCATGTCGCAAGATACGGGGCTTTTCAGCGTGCGCCGGCCCCGAGAGGTATGTTGATTGCAGGGATAAAAAGTTTCCTTGGCACGATTGCCAGCGTTCATGGTTTGCTAATGATAATTTTGATACTAGACTCTCGGAGGCATCAACTTCAACTCTAATATTCCCCAGCCCGCCTCGGCGCTCAAACGTGCCTCATCTATCGGCATACCGCAACCTCAGTTTACTGGCACAGTTGGCCGGTCCACTTCAGGCTCTCGCATGTCCCTCGCGCCCGGCCGACCAAACCAACCGATCTTTTCACGCTCATCCTCTGGCGGAAATCTGGCCGCTGATCTGGGCATGTCTGCGGTGAAGCGTAGTTCATCACAAATGTTCCAGAATATTGGCGGGGGTCGAAAAAGCTATGCGCCTCCCAGCGTGACACAAACACCCGCGCAGCAGCAGGCTCAGCGCCGTAGCAGCGTGTATTCGCGACCTTCTGGAGCAGTAGGCCCCTTTGCGCATCAAAGCTTCTTCCAGTCTGGACCGGTCCCTGCCGGTGTGCCCCGCGACCCGCGACCGCTCAAAGATCGATCCTACCAAGCGCGCCTGGGACAGGAGTTGATGGACTACTTGACGCAATACAATTTTGAAATGGAGATGAAGCATTCACTTACACACAACACGATGAAATCGCCGACACAAAAAGATTTCAATTACATGTTCCAATGGCTGTATCACCGCATCGACCCTAGCTACCGGTTTCAGAAGAACATTGACCAGGAAGTGCCTCCGATTCTCAAACAACTTCGATACCCCTTTGAAAAGAGCATTACGAAATCGCAAATTGCTGCCGTAGGTGGTCAAAATTGGTCGACCTTCCTTGGCCTGCTCCACTGGATGATGCAACTAGCACAGATGCTAGAGCGCTACGACATGGGGGTCTATGATGATGCATGCGCTGAAGCCGGGGTTGACATTAGCGGAGATCGAATCATCTTTCGCTTCCTGAGCGGCGCATACCATGACTGGCTCCAGGTCGGCGAGGATGACGACGACGAAGACGCGGATCGATTACTCGTGCCGCATGTTGAGGCAATGGCTGCGGAATTCGACAATTCAAACTCCAAATATCTGGAGGAGCTGGCAGTGCTCGAAGCGGAGAATAAGAACCTCTTGGAGCAAATTGAGGAAATGGAAAGATCAGCTCCGGACATTGCCAAGCTCGACAAACATTTCAAGATCTTGGAGACCGACAAGGGTAAATTTGAACAATACAACGCCAGCATGGAGGCGAAAGCCGAAAAATACGAATCACGCATCAAGCTTCTTAGCGACGAGCTCGAAAAGGCCGAACTCGAACTCCAACAAGCTGAAGAAGAGAAGGCCGGCTTGCACGCCGCAGTGGACAGACAAGGCATCACAACCCAGGATATCGACCGCATGAACTCGGAGCGGGAGCGGCTTCAAAAGGGCGTCGAAAACGCAGCTATACGGCTCGAAGAAGCCAAGGCCAAGGCCGCTGAACGAGAATACGAAGCTGTACGACGACTGGACGAGCTCGAACGCGTCGTGGAAAAGTACAACTCCCTCGCCTATCAAGTCGGCATTGTCCCCTCGTCAGCGCCAAATGCAAAGGGCGAAAACTACGAGCTCAGCCTGACCATTAATGACGGTCCAAATTTTTCTTCTTCCCCCACAGGAGGCAGCTCACACGGTGTGTCTGATGGTGATCGCTTACTCGCAGACGCCACCACCGGCTATCAGCCTCACCAGCTGCTCAACCTGGACCTGCGAGGAGCAGTCAGAAGTAATCTCGGCTCATTGAAGAAGGACATTAGTGACCGGCGGAACGTCGCGCTCGAGCAAGATCTGAATAACCATGACCTGCTGGACAAGATCAAGGAGACGATTGATGACAAGCGCAGCGAAGTCGAGGCACTCGAACACCGAGTTCGCGCCGCAGAAGAAGAATTCGAAAAGACCAAGGAGGTGAGACCTGATGCCCCCTTTTCTTTCTCCAAGCCATTCCGTGCTCTTTTCTTGCAAAACGATATGAAAGAACGTCAAGGCTAATTCATCTCACCTTATCGAAACGTTTAGGTCACCACTACTCAAAAACTCGCCAGCGATGCACAAATTGAGAAGATGGAAAAAGAACTCGCCAAGATGAGAGCCATTTTGTCTGAAAGCATCCAGCTCATGGAGCAGCGCGAAATGAATACCAATATTGAGTACGTCAATTTTTTTTCCCCCACATGGGTATTTTGCTTGTGTGGTTTTTTTTTCTTTTTTTTTGAGGGGGGGGGTTTCCCTTTTCCCCCTTTCTCAGATCACGCTTCTTGTTACAATTTTGAAAAGGGTGGAAAAACGAGTTGATACTAACATCCTTCTTTCAAAGATACGAACAACTCACTCTCCGCGCCAACTCGCTCCGTGAAGAACTCCACACCGAAACCGAGCGTCTGCTCAACGACGTCATCAAATTCAAAGTTCACGTCCAAAAAAGCCTCGAGGACTTTGAAGGCTTCGTCGCAGAAGAAGTCGAGGCAGAATTGGGCGCTGAAGAAGACAATTACACTTACGCCAATACCAATCCCGACGGTTACCGTGACGCTGATGCTGATCCTAATGCTTACGGTCTCGATGACGATGACGACGTCTTCGGAGGTGGTGGAGATGCGCAACCGACAGCCGGCGCCGGCGGCGATGACGACGACAACGACGACAACGACGAGAATGAAGACCTAGCGGCAGCAGCGACGGCAGCGTACGAGTATAGCCGTGCGGGATATGATCCCGATGAAGAAGGATACTAAGCTGAGAGTCTGTTGCACATGTCTGTCCTTTTGTCCTTTTGTCCTTTTGTCTATTTGTCCTTTTGTCCTTTGGTACCCTTTTTTCATCTTCTCGCTTCCTCTTGCGCCGCTCTTTGATGTGTTGGGATTTGTTTAGTATAAGCACACTCCAAATTCCCCGTTTTTTCTTGGTCTCTGTCTTGTCTTGCGTTTGCGCTGCGCTGCGGTACATCCAGGACTAAGAATGGCGTTTATTTAGTCCCCTTCTTTTTTCTGTTACTTTTGTCTTTCCCCCTTTTTTTCTTTCCCCTTTTTTCTGTTACTTTTTTCTGTTACCTTTTGTTTTTGTCTTTTTGATATATTGCGCCGTTTTTTGTCACCCATGATATGATATGATGTGGAAAACATCAATTGATACCCTGCGTAATGTGTGTGTGGAATAACCAAACGGGTTGGGATTTAAGAATGATAGTTGATAGTGGATTGGTCGATAAAGCCATTTAAGGAAATGAGACTACGTGACGGAGTTTACATCTTTTGATCATCTTGGACCCTTGGACTTGACTTTATTTTCGTATGTGGAAATTGTTGGCAAGAATTGCGAACATTGTGACAAGGAATAATAAAAAAACTGACAACTGGCCAGCCAATTGATTCGGTGGTTTGAAAAAAAAAAAAAACTTAATAATAACAATAATGCTAATCATGTTAATGTTACTGCGGCTGCTGCTGCTGCTGCCTATAAAAACGTGATGATGATGATGATGATGATGCGTATGCTAAAAGCAGAGCCAGGCAGGCAGAACGAATTCCATCATTTGATGTACATTGATGAAAAGAGATGGGAAAAGAGATAAAGAGAAAGAGGGAGTGAGAGGGAGGGTAAAAAGGAAAAATGGAAATGGTCATGTAGGGTTTGGTGAAACAACGACGATGACAATGACTCGAAACGTTACTAGGCCTCAATGTGATGAACAGAAAAGGACAACAAAGGCAAGGAAATGACGCAGACCAGAACATGTAAAAAAAAAAGTGATTCAGTCCGCCACCAATGATTTTCATGCTCAGAGTATGAAATGGTAGAAAAGATAACAATCTCATATCGAAAAGGAATTTCACTCTGCAATGATTTGCCTCAATTTTCGGGCTCTTCTCTTATCTTGGCAATGCATTCTTCTCATGTCATTCCAAACCACGTATTCATGTCATCGATCACTTCACTCCTATTGGACCACCAAATCAGAACCCGGTCTCGTATTCTTCACACACAAGGGAAACTCAGTCGAGTCGGGTGCGGATTCTAATAAAGTAAGTCAATGTTCCACCCGGATTTCACCGACAACCTCCACTGTGCAGCTCTTGCAAAACAAGACGAATAGAAAATAAGAGGAGCGGTTACCAGTAGGCCCTGCGATCATACGCGTCATATCCGCCTCTGGGAGACCTAGGTCGTCGAGGAGAAGGCGGCCTATCGTACGGCCGAGCATGGCCATTCATATAAGGGTCGGGCTCGTAGCGGCGTGGCGCATAGGGATCATCCGGGTACGGGCGGCGCACAGCAGGATAATCTTCCGGCGGACCTCGAGGGCGCGAAGGAGGAGATCGCGGGTACCGGTCGCGAGGGTCATAGTAATAGTCACGACGAGGGCCTGGAGAACGCTCACGGTAGTCATAACGCCGAGGCGGTGGGCTGAATCCTCGAGGAGCCCTGCGGTCGTAGTAGTCATCTGCAACAGGGGCCGCGCCGCGGCGAGCTCCAGAGGGTGAACGAGACCGGTAACGGTCACGCGCAGGACGCTGCTCTTGAATCTGCAGTTCGAGGGGAAAATCCACGTAAGTGCACAACGTTCAAGCTTTGAAGGGGGGTTGAAACCGGAGAGAAACTTACATCAGCCACGCAGTGAACACGAGCGCCCTTGAAGTCATGATTGTCGAGCTTTTCCACGGCGGTCCTCAGGTCTGCTCCATTCTCGTATTCCACAAAGCTTGGGCAAATGTCAGTGAGGAGCTTGTCATGTCATGGCGTAGAAGTCAGTTTACCCTCTCCCATCACGGTCGCGGCCAGTCTCCGAGTAGACCACGTCGAGGCCAGATTGCCGGGCAAAGTCTTTCAGGTCCTGCAGGTTCCGCATAAGTCCATGTCCGGTTTCGTGGTTGTGCATGCTCTTGAGTGAATCTCATATCCAGGAGAAAGAAAATAAAAAGGTTAAGCCAAGGCCATGGAGCTGGGCATTCAATTCAAGTGAAAAACCAAAAGGGAGGTGGAAAGATGATAGGTCTCGTCCAGTCCACTCGAATAATCTCCAGAAGTACAGACCCCCGCACGGTCATTTAGGATAGTGTCTCCAGAAATTGTGCTCAGAAACAAGGCACAGCGTATGCTCTGTGCAGTATCGCTGCTCCTCTTCTGTCCTGCCAGGTACATGGCAGCAGAAACCTCCAAGCCAAAAGCTAGAGTGTGACAGAAGGATGCCATTGACGTATTTCTCTGCGCCATTTCGGAAAGCGATATGCGCGTGGAGAGCCACAACCGGGAGACGTTGGACAGGCCGGGGTCGGAAAAAGGAAGAGCAAAGATGGGGGATCCAAATGTCCAAAGATTTCTAAAGAATACGGAGAGAGCTAACCTGCCAACTGGTGTCGATCGGAAGTCCGGAGATTTGCATGCGATACTGCGTCCGCCTTGGTCGAGGAGCGCTGCGTTCATGAGGAGCATAGGGGTCGCGGGGGCGCGAACCGCGAGCGAACTGAACAGTCAGACGTTCACCCATGAAATCGGTTCCATCTATAACGAGCAGCATATATTAGAGGGGAGAAGGGTAACCAATTGTCCGGGAATGGAAGAAGCAACGCACGGAAGGCTAGATAGGGAACAGCATGTGGTTAGCAAAAACAATGTTCGAATTCGTCAAGAGAGAAATTAGAACGGACAAGATCTTACCAGGAACCACGTCACGAGCATCCAAAGCATCTTCATACTCAATGAAGCCAAATCCATTCATGAGCTTGATCTCGGTAATCTTTCCGGTGCCATGAGTGGCAAAGTGGTTTTCCACATCGTTTTTGGTCGCTACACGGTCGTCAACGTCAGTGACGGATAGCCACGAAAATGCGGTTTTGTCTTATCCGGGTCCATGGTAAGAAGTCCTGAGACACAACTGTTGCGAGCCGAGCGTCCTCAGGCAGAAAGGTAAGGTCCTGGAGGGCCAAGCATACCGTTGCGGGGCAAATTCCCAAGATAGAGGCGAGTGGATGAGACCTCCGTCATGATGGGCAATCCTTGGGGTAATGATTCGCTGCTCAGATTGAAACGACGAGCAATAGGCACTCCAGCGAGCAGCAGGGAGAGGCCAGAGCTTCTCTCAAAGGTACGTGTATGTGTGAGACCAAGAAGAGGTTCAGTCCTGGTACATCAAACAGGGAAAAGCTGGTTCGAGCTCAAGGTTGGTGGAACAAGGAACCTTACGAGACAAAACAGCGACGGGGCGGGGGGGGGAAGGAGGCGATGCGATGAGATGAGATGGTCGGACGGGGATAGGAGCAAAAAAGCGATAAGCGGACAGATGAAGACAAAGAAGGAAAAGGATTTAAAGAAAAGAGGAAAAGAGAGCGAGCGAGCAGATTCTTGGCTCGATCAGGTGGATGGAGGAGGCCCAAGTGGAGGAGGAGGAGGTGGAGGAGGAGGAGGAGGCAACGTTGTTTGAACGGGGGTCAGGGTGTGGTTCGTGGTTGTTGTTGGTCTGCTCTGTGGCCCATGTTCCTTTCTTCCCCGTGTTCCAAGCTATTATACTAGGGATACCTAACATTACAGTACCCGTAACTTAACCCTTGTGACCTTTCCCTTAGCCAAACCTGGAGCTTCTTTTACCCTTAATAAAGCCCCCAATGACAATCATCGGTTGGTTCCCTTTCCCCTCGGGCGCTTCGCCTCGGTCCGCCAAAACCACAGAACCAAACATTCCCTTTTCAGCCTAACGCTTGGGGCCAGTATTTCACTTACTTCACCACATAAGTCTACAGTTAACTATAGGAATGTGTCAAGATTGGCTATCATAAGCTAAACAGAGGTTTGATTCTGTTGAAGATGGTATCTCGTATACGTAGATATAAGGGAAATAGTTATACATGTACATTCAATTCAATCCCAAATCATAATTCAAAATACTTTTCTCGCTCGCATGAAACCGGCCCAGTGCAGCAGAGTAAATTCAGGATAGAACGCAAATGTATGAAAGAAAAGAACATGCACGCAGGGATGAACGCTTGCTCGCACCACCGTCCAAAGGAGAAACCAAAATTCGTTGAGAATATAATTCATGGAAATATTTTTTCCCTTTTACGTGAGGACATACTTGGGACCTTCGCCTCCTTGAGGGGTCGTCCAGTTGATGTCCTGGTCAGGGACCTTGATATCGCAAGTCTTGCAATGAATGCAGCTAATCCCTGTTAGAACAAAACGATCATGTGAAAGTGTATGGAGAGACACTTACTTTTGCGAGTTAATTTGGAAGCGAACGCCAACGTCTTTGGTCTCATCCTCAATGTATTCATACACTCCGGCCGGGCAGAATCGGTTCTCCACGCCCTTGTACTTGGGCCATTCGAGCTCGGCGTGCTTGTCCCAGTCCTTCACTTGCAAGTGTACGGGCTGGTCTTCCATGTGGTTCGTGCCCGTCCGGCTAACGCTGGTGAGGATGTCGAAGCTGATCTTTCCGTCTGGCTTGGGATACTCAATCTTCTGGCACTGATCGGCCAGTTTCGTAGCGGCGTAGTCTCCACTGCCGTGCTTAAACGTCCACGGCACTCGGCCCTTGAGGACGAGTGAATCAAGACCAGAGTAAGCCATGCCGCCCCAAAGGCCGAGCGGAGAATGGAACGACGGGCGAATGTTGCGAACCTCCTTGAGTTCCTTCCAGATGGATGAGTTTCGCAGCTTCTCTTCGTAGTCAAAGAGGAAGACAGTGCCAGCGTCCGTGTTCGTCAGCGCGGAATAAGCGGCCTCGGCGGCAAGCATGCCCGATCGCATGGCGCTGTGCGTTCCTTTAATCTTTGGCACGTTCAAGAAGCCAGCAGTGTCGCCAATAAGAGCTCCTCCAGGGAAGGCGCACTTGGGAATGGATTGGAATCCTCCCTCGTTCAGAGCCCTGGCACCATACGAGATGCACTTGCCGCCTTCAAGAACAGAGGTATAGAACGGGTGGTGCTTCATCTTCTGGAATTCACCGTACGGGGCGAGCCATGGGTTGGGATAGTCGAGTCCAACGACGAGACCAAGGCTGACGAGATTGTCGCCAAAGTGATACATCCAACCGCCTCCGTAGGTGTCGGAGGGCAGCGGATAACCCATGGTATGGACAACCAGACCTTTTTGATGCTTTTCCGGCTGCACTTCCCAAACCTCCTTAATTCCAAGACCGTACGTTTGCGGCTCGCTATCCCGGCGCAGGTCAAACTTTTTAATAACCTGCTTGGAAAGACTTCCATGGCAGCCTTCGGCGAAAAATGTGACCCGAGCGTGGAACTCCATTCCCCGCTCAAAGTTGTCCTTGGGCTTTCCTTCCCTCGAAACACCCATGTCATTGGTGGCAACACCCTTTACGGAGCCGTCGGGTTCATATAGCACCTCCGAAGCCGCGAATCCGGGGTAGACTTCGACACCCAGCTCCTCCGCCCTTTCTCCAAGCCACTTTGTGAATTGATTCAGACTGATGATAAAATTACCATGGTTCTTCATCTGCGGCGGCGACGGGATCCATGAAGACATGGTCTTGGTAAGGAACCTCAACTTGTCCTCGGATACTGGAGTTGCCTCAGTAAAACGGTTCTCATTCTCCGGGGAGTTCCAATCGGGTAACAGCTCATTGACTGCTGAAGGTTCTATCACGTTTCCAGATACGATGTGGTCGCCAATCTCGCCGGCCTTCTCAAGAACAAGTACGCGGAATTCTTCGTTGCCCGCTTCGTTTGCGAGTTGCTTCAGACGGATCGCAGCGCTGAGACCGGCAGGCCCTGCCAGAAGAAAAAAAAAGCGTGAGCAAAACATCATTTCAAGAAATTCAAGTATTTCCTTTGCGACAATGCATGATCATACAGAGATATTGCGCAGTATGGCAATAATGACTAGGGCAGGTTGATGGCAAGAAACATTTTAATGTGAGGAGGCGGGGCAGCCGTAGTGAGTTTTTGCAAATACGGGTAAATCAAAGCTCACCTCCGCCGACAATGCAGACATCAACCTGATCACTTTCGCGTTCCAGTTGCCTATAGTCAAATGATTCGTCTTCGGCGGCAAGCTTCGTCCTTGCTGTTGTCGAAAATCTTTGCAATCGAGATGCATAGGTAGAGCATCGTCCAGCCAGCGCAGAACGACGCGCGCCACTTGAATTGAAAATAACATTATCCGTCGATTTTCCAGCTGTCGTCGCCGCCTGCAGCGATCTCGTAGAAAACGAAGGTGAAGATGTAGAAGAAAGAGCCCGGCGAAGCACCAAGGGAGAGACGGATCTCCGGACCGCCAAGGGAGACACTGATTTGGTAGCCATGATGGTTATCGGCGCGAAAATAATTTCTCCTCGAGCCACTCGAGGCGGACTGAGCTGTGGATTAGGAGGAGTAGTTCAGATCCAAGTTTGACAATGTGAATGGAGGAGGAATAATCGAGTCAAAAGTCTAGAGGACTCGAGTAAACATATTCGAAGACCGGGCCGGAGGCGTTTAGATTTCTTTGCGCCTGAAGGAACTTGATTAACTAGCACGTCACTAAAGACATGGGAAAACCCCATGAACGCACAGCCGAGAATTGCCCTGGGCCAATGAGAGGGGTCGCAAATGATAATCCAATCCCCTTTAGCCAATCACATTTGCTTGACATTGGCTGGTTATTCCATCGACAGCCTCATCTGACAACCTGAGGCCACAAGTCACACCGTGGCACAATAAAGTTGCCTGAGGATTGCGCTGATGCATGACCGTATATGACTTTAATACTGGCTTCTCTTTATTGGAAAGCTCAATATATTTGAATCCAATCGACATCTGGCGCAATTGACTGCTTTCAACTATATCCCTTCACTTCATTCACATGTGATGCGATCAACATAGAGCATATGTGCAATAACATCAACAAATTAACCAACAATTGCTCTTGTCCTTTACAATCTTGCCAATTGCATACGTCACAGCATAGCTTGCTCATCGCATCAGTACCCACATTTCACAGACGGCAGTCTTCGCTCTCAAATGGATTGAACCATTGTCGATAGTTTTGTGAAAAATCCGACCGTTTCTCTGATTTGCTGGGATGATTGGTGGCTGTTATTCACAGAGTCTCCACGAAAGGAGATCATCGATGGAAGCAGTAGCAAGAAAGAATCCTAGGAGAAATGGTGATCTTAAGTGATTGATCACATGAAAGTGGTATGTTGCCTAAAAATACATGATTGACGAAAGGAAGGAGAGATCCGAGTAGAGTTGTGTGGGCCATTAAATAAAAGATATATCAGTTGCGTCGAACAGGTCCAACTCCAACCAGTGGAAATGGTAACGCCATTAACGAAGGCTCCCCGACATGCGTGAAAACATCGTTGCAGGGGAGAACGAATGCGCCAGAAATTTTGAAAAGGGCGAAGAGAGTGCCAGAAAAGATCGGCTAGAAAAAGAACGACCAAGGGAAAAAAAGTGGCGAGGAGCGAGAAGAGATTCCGCGACGGAAGAAAATATATGGCAAAATATGCAAGAAAGAGTCCATCTACCAGTTCTTCTCCGACTCATAAACAAAATAAACAGAAAAGGGATTGAGCATATTTCTTCAGTATGCGCCGAAAAGATCATCGAGCTCGTCCAATTCCACGTTTTCGGGATTTCGCATGTCCCCATCCCACATGCCCAAGCTGTGGTCCCCAGGAATGGACGATGCTCCTTCAGGATCAACCTTGATGTCGACCTCCATACCGTCCAGCGAGTCGTTGGCAAGCTTTCTGGTCGAGGTAAACACATGGAAACTGCTGATTCGAGAACCAGGACTGCTAAACGTCAAATGCATAGGCTCAACGTGGCTATGGCCAAAAAGCGTTGCCGCAGCATCGCTATTTTGCTGATCCGCATTCTCTTCGGTCTCCAGAAGGGCTTCCTCATCCTCGGTACTCGGGCGCACTTCTTCGGTCGGTTTGTCTTCCTGGCTCAGACTTCGTTTTCGCATCGAGCTTGCGGTCTGTGTAAACTCCTTCTCATCGCCTTCCAATGGCGGACTCGCCGCACGATGATTATGGGCGATATTAATTGAGTGATGATTGCCTCTTCCGGGGGCACTTCGACCGGTGAAAGAGCCTGTGGGAGTCGGAGGCATATCCTCATCATCTAGCTCCGGAGACGACAGATCGACTTCAGGAGATGGTGAGAGGGTGACGCGCATTCGTGCCTCGTGTTCATCTTCTTCGTCGGCAGATGCGGAAGTGAGTGATGGAGAAATCACTCCAGAGGTGTGATTGAGAGCGTCATAGAGTTCGGGGATGGGTTGTGGCGTGCTCGTAGTAAGGTGGAAGTAGATGCGGCGGGGGTGGGTGGCGGTTAGGATTTTGCCCACGGGACAAGGCGAAAGCGCAGTCCAGGGTCGACGAAGGTAACTCGTGAGTCGAGATGTGATGATTGCGGCGGGATTCGCGGAGCTGTAAAGGGAGAGATCATGTCAGCATCCTTTCTGAGCTGGGTGAGCACGCGACAGCGGGCACTATCCCGTTCAGACTCACCTTTCTACAACTGGAAGCGTGGTAGACAGGATTGCAGCAAGCTCTTTGACGAGGTGAGGCCGATTTCCAGTCTTTTCTAGCTGTTCTATAACCCCTTTCACTATATCATCATTTATGCCTTCTGTGTCTATCTTTGACACTTCTGCAACGCCCGGCGATGGTGGTGGCGTCTGCTCATAAGAACGGCCAGCGCTCTTTGATGCTGCGACTTTCGTCGCGCCATTCGCAGCGGGTTCAGAAACCGAAGGGGGAGGTGATGCCGGTGTATGCGATCGCTTGACTTTCTTCGACGGAGGTTGCTCATGCGACGTAGTGTCGGGCGGTGAGCGATGTGCCGTACTTCGAGAAGCGTGTGGGAGCTGGATGCCGAGCAAAGGCAACGAGAGCGACTTTCTTCTGGTATTGTACGGCATTTCGTGGAATTTCGAGCGCGATGATAGTCGGTTGAGATGCGAATCGGGGAGTTGTTCGCACTGTCAAAATTATGCGACAATCGTTGAGAAGCACCAAAAATATTGTCGACGAAGTGGTGCTTGTTTTGACAGCCTCGAGAGGTTGGCGGTTTCCCGGACAAATGTCTAAAAGACAATCGAGAAATGGGGAAGTTTTGGAGAAGTGAAAGGCTCGAACGGTCGCACGAGCCGACAGGGAGTGTGCGTGGAATGCAGATGCCGAAAAGAGAGCCCAGCGAGAAGGGAGGCGGCTCCCTACTCCGTTGTGAGGCGAGGCGAGAGGCGAGAGGCGAATGGGTAAGATGGGTACTGTAGTTGGGAAAAGCGAGGATAGACGACCCGCAAGAAGGGCCGGTGGCTGCTCGATGGGGGAGGTAATGTAATGTAATGCAAACGTAGCGGCTGGGTAGCCTAGGTAGCCTAGGTAGCCTAAAAACGTAATAGCCAAAAAAGATCGGGACCACTCCAAATTCCCAGCAGGATGGATTTTATCCGCGACGAGATCCGCCAGAGCAGCAAAGCAGCACGAAAATGAAAAATAGGAGAGGGTGAAAAAGTAGAAGATGATTGTTCGCTGCAAAAAAAAAAAAAAAAGGCGAGCACTGAAGAAGCGGGGGAATGAGCAAGTGTGGCGGGTTTCCGTCAAGGCTTGGTGGTAAAGTAAAACGAAAAAGTAAAAAAATAAAGAGAGGGAGGGGGACGATGTGAGAAGGGAGGCAGAGGGTTGATGGATGCCTACCGACGACAAAAGGGAGAGCTGATGATGATGATGATAGTGATGACGGGGAAGGGGGGTCGCCCACACAGACACACACACATACGACACACTTCCAACAGCAGAGTTTAGCAGCACCAGGAAAGCGGGAGACAAGAAAAAAAGGGGATCGGACCCGGTTCGGCGGCATCAAGCGTCTACAATGTTTTGGCCACTCGCGAATCAACGACAGAAAAGGGGGAAAGTTTTCAATCGGGGGGATGAGCAGGGGGCCTTGCTGCACAAAGAAAGAAACTGAGAAGGATATGCAAGGGTTGGCGATGGCTGGGATCTCCCAGATCATTATCACCGAAGAAACCAAAAGGTACTGTTGTGAGAAGCATCGTATAAGACGAGCCACGACACGCGGCAGCTCCTTGCTGCCTCAAAAGAGTGACATGCGGCGTCTTGTCCAACCTTGTATCAGAGTAGGTATTTTGGGCGATCTGTGGAAGAAGAACATCCGCCCTAAGACAATCTAACGCATGGCCCGGCAAAGCACCGCTAGAGACTAGCACCGCCGTTAGCACTGCGCATCAATCCCCAAGCAGGCATCCATGATGTATCGCGGATCCGCACTGTTTTCGCCCAGACTCTGCGCCCATCCTTTTTTCGGTATGGCGCGGCGTTTTCTCATAAAAAAGTTGACGGTGTTACTTCTCCACTAAGGCCAGCAGCAGAGCGCCGAGTGGATTCCGCCGTCAAAACGGGGCAAATAAAAAAGTGATCCACGCTCGTAGACTTTACCAGGGATGAATGGTCGAGAAGGGCTTAAATAGTTTTGTCGAAAATGAATGCTCCTTGACAACGCGGCATCATCCACAAATTTCGGATTTTCTTTTTTCTTTTTCTTTTTCTTTTTTCTTTTTAAATTGCGGTCAGTCGGCACCAGGCTTTCTTTCTTTTTTTTTCTCTCTCCTTTCCTTTTTTTATAATGACTTTTGAAACAAAAATGGACTCTCCCAGAAATTTTTTTATTCTCCCATCAATGCGACAGCATCGTCTTTATGGAATTCATCCGTTCGCGTATGCCCCAGATTTTAGGTAGAGATTTTGGCTGTGTAGAAGTACTGTAGTCTCATGCACGCTGAGTATCCGAAAAGGCAAATGGCAAGTCGGGCCAACCTCAGAACCAATCAAATCATCTTCTAGATTTCGGAGGCGAATCCTTTTTCTCTTCGCCGCTAAAATAGAACTGTTTTCCAGCTGGATTAGCTTTTGGCCGACCTCATGGCCGAGGGATGCCTTCCAAGCTACGTCAAGCGGCTCTCGGAACCAACACGGATTGTTGACCCTTGGCCCAAATGAGTGGAAGGCAAATTTTCAGACGGCGTTGCTCTTCTGGGGAGGGTCGCCGTGAAGCTGACAAGGACAAAAACAAGTCGTCCACTGGGCGACCAGGCTAGCCGAAACAGATGCAGGACCCCTGCACTTATGAGCATTAGCGCATCTGAGTCCCGACAGATGAATGTGATAATCCCAAGCAGCTTACCCTGCGCCGGGGGAATGCATAACTCGCATAAGTGCCGTTTTTGATGCAGACACGCTTGGATGCCAAATGCCGCGATCGGTCCAGATTCAGAGTAAATGAATGTGAGTGACCAATTTTGAACATCGTCGGCTTGCTGTCGGCGTCACGTTACTTAGGTTTGAGATGAGCCGGATACCCGTCCTGACCATAATGGGTAAGCTTCCCGTTCTCTGTCCAGGCAGAATGTTGACAAACATCAAATGTGATGGCGCTTATTTGGAGCCTTTGTCCTTCGTGTCCGACTTCAATGTCGTTTGTCTAGGCCGAAGCTCGACCTTCCACGTGGTGCCAAAATGATATCTGTCAATTGACACAACTTCCAACCCACTTTCTGCAATGATGGCCCCGATATCCCGATTCCACCAGCACCCGTGCTTGTCAGCATGTGCTGGTGCTAAATTATCCATGATCTCGTTCAGTTTCGTGTAATATGATTTGCCGTGTTCCAGTAAAAGGATTCTTCCATGTTCTTGGTTAGCTAGACGACCCAAATTGTCCAGGAGCTTAACTGGCTCGGGCGTTGAACAAAGTCCCATGGTTTGGATAATGGTATCGAATCCCTGCGGCGACGGAGCGTCAATAGGGACCATTGCCGACTGCGTACGGAATGTGACGTTTGAATATCTTGGATGCGCCTCTGGAAGCAGGTGAGCTACAGAGTCCATGCTGACAATAATTGGGGGGAGAAGGTATAAACCTTTGAATTTCTTCCTTGCGATCTCAACCATTTCAGGACTTAGATCAACCATGGTGATGCTCTTGCATTTGTCGAGAGAATAATACTCAATGTTCCTTCCAGTCCCCACTGAGACCTCGAGAACATCTCCCTCAGCTTCTTTTGCAAGCTTCTTTCTCATTTTGAGCAAACCCATCATCCATTCAATGGTGCCGACATCGCTGTCAAAGTGTTCCGCACTCTCATTGTAGCGATCGGAGACGTCCTCGGGAACAACTCTTAATTTGTTTTCTTTGATCGTTCTTTGGTAATTGCTATACATGGAAAAGCCATAGAATGCCAGCCCGTATGCAAATATACCACCAATGATCAGCGGGCCTTTACGGAAAGGCTTGGGCTTTGCGACAGACTGAGGCTCTGTCCTCGGAGGTGATTTTGAGATTTTAGGTCTAGCAGAATATGTCAGCAAGAGCAGAGACCGCCAATCCGCTTCCTCCCTTTGGGGAAATAAAGCAGAAGGAAACAGTTTTTCTTACTGGTAGGGCAAACTTCGAGATTGAGCATTGGCTTTAGCTGTCAAGGATTTGCGTGGTTTTGCAGCACGCAGCAAAGCTGAACCGCGCATGATCGATTCTGATACTTTGACAAATTGACACTATTTGAACACTTATGTACCTGGCATGGAAGAACAAGTTGTTGTTGTTGTTGTCAATGCTTAGAGTGATACTTTTGTCAATGTTGCACGTTGATGTTTCCTAATGGACCCTGATAATCTTTCTACTCGTACAGCTCTCACGCCGTTCGCTTGAAACTGTGTCTATGCCTTTTCTGGGAAAGTTCAATTTCTCTCTAGATTACGGAGTAGAATATTGTCGATAGTCCGACGGCCAGTGAGACAATGTAACGAGCAATTTTCAAAGTATTTGTTTCGGTAGAAATTTTCTTTTGGCCAAGGCCAGCATTTTGATGAGAACATCAAGTTTTTCGCATTAGAAAAATGTTTATAGACGGTATTGCTCAAAGACCTGTGGCCTAGGTTTCAATTTCATTAACGTAATCTCACAATCGGGACAGTTGGGCGCCGTCCCGAAATGCCACTAAAGGGTCTTATCGCCTTTTTCCCGAATGTGTGTCCATGACACACGCCCATTGATTGGCAATTCGACGATCTTACTGATCGTGTGACATTTAAAGAGCATTTCTGGTTTCATTTGTGAGGGCAAATCTCAATTATTTTCATCAGAGCAGAAGAAATGACGAAGAAAACCGTTCCGTCTTCAATTCTCATCGTCGGTTCGGGGGTGTTTGGCCGTAAGTCAAATCTCCTTAATTAAACTCCCAATGCCTTATCTTCCGAGAAAACAGCGCAACTCTACTCCAAACAGACATCATCACTGTACAGACGCTGAGATTATTACCCAGTTTCCACGGCACTTTCACTTGCGAGTGTTCCCAAATACAATGGCACGAAAATTACTCTGATAGACCGCAGTGCCTTTCCCGCGCCTGATGGCGCAAGCATTGATTCCTCACGTATCATTCGACCAGACTACGCATGCGAAGCATACTTTCGACTTGGATGGAAAGCTCAAGAGCTATGGAGAAGTACACAATGGGGTGCAGACGGGAGGTACTCTGAAAGTGGCCTCGCTCTAACTTGTAACGATCGTTGCCAAGATTATGTGCGGGATAGTTTCGAGAACGTCCGACAGGAGGCGGGTGGTGCCATTCACGGGCCGAGTGGGAAGCCGCTTGTGGAGGAACTCTGCGACGCCGAAGCTATTCGAGATGTGCTTGGATCCGGTGGAGGCAGCGGATCCTGGGGGTACATCAATCGGAGCAGTGGTTGGGCTGATGCGGAGGCTGCGATGCGATATGCGCGGTCGAAGCTTGAGGCCACCGGCAGAGTTGAGTGCCGAAAGGGCGAGGTGAAGCGATTACTCCAGCGTAGCACGAGCAGTGGAAAAGAGATTGCTGGAGTCGAGCTGATCGACGGGTCGACGATCACTGCTGAGCTCACCGTACTCACCGCGGGTGCGTGGTCTGGCCGATTGGTTGATTTGCGTGGCCGCGTGCAAGCCACTGGCCAGGTCGTAGCCTATGTCCGCTTAACGCCAGAGGAACAGGAAAGGCTGCAAAACATGCCTGTCTTGCTTAATCTTAGTACTGGCATGTTCATCTTTCCTCCGCGTAACTGCCTGCTCAAGGTTGCTCGTCATGGCTATGGTTACAGCAATCCCGTAAAAGTGCCGCACCCGGAGAAGGAGGATGGCTCAAGCATCCATGTGAGTCTGCCACGTACCACTGTGGACGTACCAACGCAACAAATCCCCCATGAGGGCGAGCAGGCTTGTAGACAAGCTCTTCAGGAAATGGTGCCTGGTATTGGGGACCGTGAGTGGCTGAGCACTAGAATATGCTGGTATTCGGATACTCCAGAGGGTGACTGGCTCGTTGATTTCCACCCTGAGTATAACAATACTCTCTTCGTCGCTACAGGCGACAGCGGTCATGGGTTTAAATTTCTCCCTGTATTGGGCGACCAGATTGTTGCTGCTCTCGAAGGTCATACGCCGACTGACTTTGCCGACAAGTGGTGTTGGCCAGCAGCCGCAGTTGACGGGCTTTTGGAGACGCTGGATGGAAGCCGTTCAGGCCCCAGGAATATGATCTTGGACCAAGAATTGGCTCAAAGGGACATTTCGCGGAGCAAATTATAGATTTGCATCTCTGCTCTGCATTCGATGGGATCTGTTCCGCTTTTTATACTTCGGAACATTTGCCCTACAGCAAGCTCTTTTTACGACACATCAAACGCTCTCTCACGAAGCGTGGCTGGGTATAGGCGGAAGTCTCAGGCATATATAAACTTGGAGCATTGTGTATAGATTAGACACATAGACATGATACCTGCTAGATCTTGAATTAGATCCGTTATTCGAACATCGCTTTACAGTTCTTCGACCTCACAAGTATAAATTTCTTGTTTTTCGAGGGCGCTTGAGCAGAAGGTTGGTTTTTCGGGATCACGAATATGCTCTTCCATTATGCAAGGCATCAATATAATGTAAATTGATTGAATTCAATTTAATATGCTATCTAAAAGTCCTGCAGCCGATCAATGGCATTTACGCCGAATGAGGCCAGTGGCAAGCATGAACGAGCAACGGCAATCTGACGTCGCCTTACAAGGAAGGCAACTTCAGAGTGGAGGATGATTAATGCGATAAGAGAGCATAATCTCCTCAGAGCCCAATGTCAATAACAATCTTTCTGGGTTTTCGTTTCTGCGATGACAGAGGCTGCTGCCCACACAAATCACAAACGGAGATCAGAGCAAGTTAGAAAAGGCATGAATTCACCCAGCTAAGGGGACTTCGATGCCATTAGCGAAGTAGAATAATCGGGTACGAAACAAAGGCGAAACAAAGGTATTAGACGGCAACCATCGACCAGCGCGCATACCGCCATAAGAAGCCAGCATATGCGACCTTCTAATTTGAAAAGAGACCATGTCTCAAGGGGTTGGTGAATCCTAGGTCCATAAAGGGAATTGGGATCGTTTATCAAAGTCGAAACCGCGCTCCGCAAAACGCCCTGAAAATGCAACTTGTGAATAAATCGAAGGATCAAGCAAACAATAAAAAGAGAAACGACGGCTGAGACTTTTTTATGCATGTACTGTCAGTCGTCAAAGTTGAAAGGCTCGGACGTTGAAGCGGCCGATTGTTGTGTAACGAAAAAAATCATCAAGGCGTGAGAAGATATAGTAATACAGGGCAATGGCCATGTGAAGAAGTGTTGATACACGCCTTTGGAAGAGCATTCCAGAGTCAAGACTGAACATGCTTTCAAAAGGCACCATCGCGGCATTTAGACTTTGCGAAAGTCTGGTTTACCATGTATTAGCCGCTAAAGGTCTGGGTTAAAGTTAGAGAGCTGGAAATGTTATGCTCACCAGACAACACCGGATAGATTAATTCGAAGGCTTGATAGATTTCCTCGCGCACCTTTGCGCCGGTCAGGACAATCTTGCCGCTAACGAAGATCAGGAGTACAATCTTCGGCTTGATCATGCGATAGATGAGACCGGGGAAAAGTTCAGGCTCATAAGAGCTGAAGTGATGGTGGCGACTAGCCAAGCCTTCGAGACGAATGGGGAACTTGATGTCGCAGGAGCCGACAATATTCTGAATCTTGAAATCGGTAAATTTGGCATTGAACCCCAATTTCTGGATGATACGAGCATATTTTCGCGATGCAAGCTTTGAATCATCCTCGGACTTTGCACCCGTTACAACCATTTTGCCCGATGCGAAAATCAGTGCGGTGGTCTTGGGTTCCCGAATACGCATGATGACAGCCGCGAAACGCTAGAAATAAAAGTAAATTTAGCAGGGTAAATGAGCAGCTGGAGCAGCGTGCGTCAATACCTTTGGATTGTACTCTGCATTTCTCGCATGCAGAGCGATCGTCTTGAGATCCAGGCGACAGTCAAGGTTTACCGTAGCGACGATGTTTCTTGAAGCATGCTTGTTAAGCCTCGTGAAGTCTCGACGAGGCAAGGGAGTATACTCACTGTAACGTTGGAACAATTCCACTCACGCCTTGTCCGGCACCAGGAGTCGCGGCAGGAGTCGCGGGAGTCACCCCGTTGCCAGCCGCGGTGGCATTTCCTCCCTGCTGCTGCTGACCACCCATATGACCATTCACTCCATTCATTTGTCCCACAGCACCGTTCATCTGGTGCAGCCCATCTTTATCAGAGGAAGGCGGCGTGAGGTCGCCGGCGCCACCAGGAAAGGACAGCGACGAAGGAGAAGTGAAGGCCTTGGCCTGTTGCGCAGTCGACGGATGAGTAGTAAGGGTATCCATTATGAGACTTGTATGTACTCTAAAACAGCAATCGCTATCCCGGGAGATTTTGTGTTGCTGGCAGCCTGTTTGAGATGAATGCTCGTCAGGATATTGGTTCTTCGGGTAGGAGAAGCGGCGCGCTCAAGTCAACTGAAGACTCTTCTGGGAGAAGAGGTTCACACAAGGAGCCTCCGTTGACGTTCGAGGGCGATGCGATGAGGCTGATTATATCGTACCGTTTGCGGGAGATGAACAACTCAATGTCTCCCCTACAGTCGCTGCTCAGTGACCACCAACCACAACTGATCGCGCGACCAAGTCCACTTTCAGGGAAAAGGTTGCACACTCAGAGATGCCCACTTTTTGGGTTTTAGTTTCAGATATTCTCCTCAGTCTCTTCACAAACTGATTGATATGAGGTCAGACCGTGTCGCGTGTCTGTAAGCGACAGCGCCTCGAATCTATCTCGTCAGGTAAGGGAGTGGCTAGGTGAGCACCAATAGAGGTGTACCTCAGTATGTGAAAGAGAGAAAGGTGAGGAAAGCAGAAGCGCGGCGACGACTTCTGAATATATTTCCTCTGTCGACCGCTAAGAAAGGTGCGACGAGTGAAGATTGGCGACGACAATGGTGGAGGTGGTTGAAGTGGATGGGGTTGTGGATAGGGGATTGATGATGGTGATGATGATGGTCGTCAACCACCTGAGAGTAGCGCCAAGAGCGAGATACCACTTTTCGCGAGTGAGGATCTCGGGGGGTGCGAGGAGTATTTATACACCATGACTCACAGTCCGCCCCCTGTCCGCAAAAGGATTAGCGTTCTCGCCAAGAACCAGTTGCCGAGGGAGCGAGACTGTGAAGGAGCGATACAGGAGGCTGCTTGCCTTTAAAGCGGCGTCGCTCGGGCGCAAACGCCAACCTAGGAAGCCACCGGGCGGCACAAAAATCCTTTCACCACACCCTCAGAGTTCGTCATGGGGCCGGCGATCCTCCTTTCCAATCCATGCTCGATCCTGTCACAAACGCGCATAACCATTGCATAAGTTGGGCATGGGTTTATCAATCTCCACCCAACCCACCGATCCAGTAAAAGATGACATGCAAGAGCCGGCCGATAGGTCCAAGTGCGAGTACAGTACCCCATACTCTCGTCGCGGTTGCCCCATAGAAACCCTCAGAAGAAACGAACACCTATACTTAGCCGCTCTACCGACCACCGAAACCAAACACCCCCCACACCACCCAAAAAGAGGCCATCCTGGTCGGTCGTAATTTATTCGCCCAAATCTTCGTTCCCAGAGCCTAGCGCGCTCGGCCAACTTTGGGGCGCTTGCCTGTGTGCTCTGCTTGTCTGCTTGTTTGCTGGGTCGCCGTCCCGTTATAGCGTGATGCGGCCGCGCGCAAGAGAGACACACCTAGGCCATCACCCGTCGGCGCGTCGCGCTGTTTTGTGTCGCGCCGCCAACAAAGCGAAGACCATGAAGTTTCACGCTTCAAACCTCAAGTGAGTATCTGTCTGCTTTTTGTCTAGACGGTCTAAGGGCATCTCCTCAACATTCAAGTGGCGTTTGTTCGCGCTTGTAAGGCGCCTCTTTCTGTCTCGGCACCCAAAACTTCTACCATTGTGCTCTTGCCTTCAGAAAACTTGATGCAAGACACGTAGGGTCAAGTACAAAAAAATTATTTATCTTTGCTATACCATCGTATCGCGGCGAGAATCGGCCACCTGCCCCCGCGTGGGGAGCTAAGGAATGTACGCACCTTGTGCACATTATTGCCCTTTCTTCCGCTACTACGTACTTCTAGACCTCATCGCATACCGGTGGCCTCGATGATTGAAGCGAAGGAGGCGCAAGTAGCCCCTGAGTTCCCCGCCCCTCCTGATTAGGCTTTGTTCCTTGGTAGGAATTCCATTCCAGGCTGTGTGCTTTCCGACAGCCCCGACAGTTGACCCGACTACCTTTATTCAACGTCCCCTTTCTTTGTTCCTCTCCGCTTTGTTTGGCGCAGCCCTACCACAGCCGTTTCCAGATTTACCGCTCACATGGTGGGCGATGATGTCAATCTCAATCGCCCTATCGCAATACCTTACATACCTACCTTAATCCGGTCCCATGGCATATGCTCCCTTTCAACTTGCAGTGCCAGAAATATATAGGCCCTGCCGTTCACAAGGACGTTCCATGCCGTCGTACGAGTTATCTTGAACAACAAGGCATGACGACATTATTCAATATATAGCACCTCCACAGGGGTTAGCAAACTATTTCGTCTGAAATACTCCGTAATGTGTGGAGGTTAGCACGGTCGATTTGCGCGTGCAATTTAGTCCTTTTTCTTTCGTCTACCTCTTCCCTCCACTCTGACGTCTCTCCTCTTTTCCTTCTCCCTTCTTTCTCTTCCTATATATTTGAATCCTTTTATTCTGGGATCTTGCTGCTGTACAACTTCGCACGTTAAGACATAGCCGGCACAGCACCACAATTTACACTCAACGACTGCACATGGCTTTCTTAATCTCAAAGTGGTGCTGTCCAAGTCTTCACCATCTGTTCTTCATCTGTAGACAGGCATGTTACGGCAAATGGCTTCTTCTTCCAAAATCTAACCATGAAATCCCAACATTCTCGTGTGCAGCATTGAGAACAGATCATGCAATTCAAACATCTAATACATCGCGGGTTACTGTTCCAAACAATTACATGGCATTTGGACTTGATGACAGCAAGCGAAGATGTTTCACGAATCCCTTCCCAAGGGCTGCTTTCCATACCGATAGATTCGGGGAACAAATCATGGAAGTATATATGCAACACGAGACTGAAGATTGTCCAGTTGATTAACAATTCCTCCACGCGATCAAAACCAAGAAGCAGTGACACGTATAACTTAGGCGGCGACAAGTAGCCCAGACAAGAATATCATGTAATGTTTCCATTTAATAGAATTATACCAAATTGTGAATTAAAATTATCTAATACTATACTTGCAGAGCAATAGAACATTGTAACGATGGGATCAATTGATCCCAGCACGCCTTCACAAGACGTCTTGATGTAAGTTGACAAAAATCGGAGCGAGTGCGCAATGTGAGCCTGATTATCGAGGAACACGTTAGCATGGTTCTTCGTGAACTTCAAACAAGAAGCTATGAGCAAATGTGTGTGGTCAGACTGTTGAGCTTGATTTGTTTTTTTTGATCGTCACAGAATTCGGAAGTTATCGTTTAGAAGAATGGGTCATCACATCAAGGAAAGGTGGAAGAAAAACGACGAAGATGATCGGCTTACATTTCAATGCTGAGCAGCTATTGACGTTTCCGCCCGGCTCTCGCTGCTAAAGAAGCCGTAGAAGTGATGAAGAGTTGGTGAGGAAAAAAAGCAAAATTGAATGTGAAGGGGGAAGAGCCAGCTACATATAAAGCTCCAAGAAAGCCCAAAATTTTCGGGCCAGCCACGCTAGCCGCATATGTCCACGGAATAAGCCGAGCTTTCCAGCGAGACCCCACCAGCTCAGCGTCTGAGATATTCGTCACACCAACATTGCAGTCTTTTGAAGCACCAAGCTCCCTAGAAGTCGAGATTTATTTCATTGTCGGAACTCGTTACAATAATCATCATGGCTGGTGAGCTACACTCGTATTTCCTTTAGCCCCAGCGCCTGTGAACGTGAAACAATCAGAGCTGCTTCGTTTTTTTCTTCGCTTCCCCTCCAGAAAAACACTTGAGCTATCTTGCCCAGCTTCTGGTCAATATCTGCTAACATGGCTTTTTACAGATTTTCAAGCTGTTGCCGGTATGCACAAATTATATTTTACCCCGAGTCTCTCGACCCATCATCTAGTTCCAGGAAAAGGCCCTAGTCGAGTTCCCAAAGTTGTGATTAACGGGTAGAAATAGACCAGTTCGTGCAATTTTACTATCAAACATTCGATGAGAATCGTCAGAATCTCGCTACTCTCTATGTATGTCAGAGAGACGTCAACTTTCAACGACACATGTTCAAAGTCACTAATTTATGTTAACGCAGCGGGACAACTCTATGCTTACTTTCGAGAACACCCCCATCCAAGGAGCGGCTGGAATCGTCGAGAAGCTTTCTGTGCGTCATCTCAAAATCCTCTGAGCTCTTTCCTTCACAATGCAGCCTCTTGCTAATTTAGATTCTCTTGAAAGTCTCTTCCGTTCCAGAAGGTGCTCCACAAATGGAGTACTGCCGACGCCCAGCCTTCCAGTGAGGGTGGTGGCATCTTGGTCATGGTCACTGGTGCTCTTCTGGTATGTTAAAACAGACCTAATTTTTTGCGCTGAGGCGAAATTTCTGACCAATGTACAGGTCGACGAGGAACAGAAGCCAATGAGTTATACCCAGACCTTCCAGCTGCTACCGGATGGCCAAGGCAGTTACTATGTCTTCAATGACATCTTCCGTCTTGTCTACCCTGCTGCCTAGATGCTGATTGGTTTTTCTTATCATCAGGGCTAGCCTGACTCTACATTGAAGATATCCTGGGGGATTGGCGATACGAAGAAACCTTTACCTCCATGAAGCTCTATTTGAGCGTGCTCTTGCATTTGGCCGCTTGAAAGTGGCAACTTTTGGGGTTGATTAGAGCGTCAATTTACATAAATACTATTCATCATCTCTTCAACCACAATTTTTCCCGTTCTTCTTTTGTTTTCATTACGCTTAGGCCCAGTTTCGTGAATGGGTTACTCTTCCGATATACATGTGCGCCAACAATGAAACACTCCATTAGTCGCTGCCACCAAAACCTTCCATGTTTTACATGGCACAATATTATACTTGCCTAATGCGGCAGCGAATCTTCCCGATTTATGACATTTCAATGGTATGAGACGCGGAAAAATTGAAGCTCAGCGCAGTGATGTTTATATGCCATCCGCAAGTGCCGATGTGCCGCTGACTAAGCGAGCTCTCCTTGCAAGTTGCGACGCGAGATAGCTCTATCATTGGCCGAAGCGTCAGCCTCACAGAGCATTCCAAAACATCGGATCAGCATCCTAGGCTACAGTATTTCGAGCATCGGTTCCCTCAACATCCATTACACAGGCCAGACAAGTCTCTAAACTGGGCTCGTACTGATCGGTTGGATTGGAAGAGTTGTGGATATTGTAGCAACTCTCGGACGCAAACACTGCGAAAATGACGCTCGCGGAGGAGTTTAAGACGCGGAATTTTAGTAAGTAATGGCTTGGAGTGCGCTGCTATTGCGCGGAATCATTGCAAGATCTTCATCTTACCAATATGTGCCATTAGGTATCTATGGACAATGGTACGTGCTGTCCCTGTCATGGCGACAGGAACCTATTCTCGGAAGGCATTGAAGCTCGGCGGTTTATTGAAAAGGACAACGCCGCGCCTTGACAAAGTTGGAGCGGATCTTTCTTGGCCGGAGCAGCAGCATTTTGAAATCTGTGGAAAGCTTTGGCAAATCGGCTGCAAGAATGAAATGGGACAGTGCACATTTAGCTGGGCACTTATGCTGACTACTTCTCCATTTAGGAGCGGCGTGCTTTGCATGTTCCTTTGCTTCGGGCTTGGGATCGGTAACCTCTTCTTCAGGCCCGTAGTGATTATTATATTTAGTGCTCTCTGCCTGTACGTATAGCCTAGGCTTCATATTGTCAAGATTGCTAATGCATGTCGTCTTTAGGGCGTCATCTTTCATTATTCTCTTCGTGGAAGTCCCCCTACTTCTGCGCATCTGTCCGACATCTGCCAAATTCGACACATTCATCCGACGCTTCACTACCAATTATATGCGAGCTGCAATCTACCTCGTCATGAGCATCGTGCAATGGCTTAGCCTGCTCAAAGAGCCCACGGGTCTTATCGCAGCCGCCGTCCTGCTGCTCTTGACAGCAATCTTTTACTCTCTGGCTGGTCTGAAACATCAAGAATTCATCGGCAGTAAAACTTTGGGAGGCCAAGGCGTCGCGCAAATGATTGTCTAATTGTTATCTTACGAATTATGCGATGAATCTGGACATGTACGCCGTATGCAAAGTGAGCTGAGGGCGGGCCGCGAATAAAGCAGCGGTAACACGTATCGGCAAGCTTACGATCGCAACGCATCCGCGTCGAACTGGAAACGGAAATGGATTATTAATCGTGCGCCTGTGAACTTCAATAGATGAGGCTGGCAGCATGACTCCTTTGATTTTTCGGAAAGGAGACAAGAAGAGAGAATTGTGGTTTACGAGTCAATGTTTGCATTTCTGTTGTCTGCACTTGTTGCTTTTGGCAGGCGTCCATCACGAAGAATGAAATTATCTGTACGTGATGATTAACTTTTGGCCGATCAATCGTCAGTTGATGCTAGAACGGAAAACAAAAGCCCTAATATACTCTATATAATATTTATCTGGTCATCATTGTCCGAAAGAAGACTTGAACAAGTTTAGGGTGGTGGAGGTATTGTGGAAATGAATGTTGTGTTTCACTTTCATCCGTTTTACCTAGTCCAGAATCAGGGGAAAGCGTCCGAGGAGCTTTGTCTGCCCCTGCACCAAGTGATTGTGGGGAATTAGTGTGCTGACAGGGTACTTGAGAGGCTTGAATCCGAATCGATTAGTATCTGTTTGGTAGGAGAGGACGGTGCCACATCACGCTTAGAATCATTACCACGCGAGAAACATATTCCAAGGATTTCCTCGGCTGTTGGAGATGCGGTTTGCCAATGGTAATTTGGAAATTGTGTCTGGAAGCAAATGGGTCTAATGGGGACCCAAGCACTCCCTCAATCATGGTCAACTTCTTTGCTTGTTTAGTTTCAGAAGGGAAAGCAGGAAACGTAGGTAAGCAGATCACATTTTGATTCGTGCACTACACATCTGGCCACGATGCTTTGAATGGTCAACGTTTGATTCCCGCAGAGTTGATTGCGCCTTTCCAAGCTGTGATGTGATTCCAAGTCATGGGATCCCGTCGGCTATCAACGTGTGGAGATGGCACGACGAAAAGACGTGATTATGATGCTATGATGCAAGAAAAAGCCCCCGTGCACAGAGACCCTTTCCCTTCTGGCCCAGAACGCCCTCTATTCTTAGTGCCCAGATAGAGTATAGCTTTCAATTAGGCTGTACAGGAACACAAAAGTCGTCACAAATGATTCAGCTACTGTACGTGTTCGGTGGGACTAGGTTTTCCCGTTACTACAACAGTCTTTTGCTCTTTCTTTCCATCCAGAATTTCCCTTGCAGACCGAATTTCCATTCACATTTGAATGTTCTATCCATTCCTTTGGCCGGTGCATTCGTAATCGCGTCGTTGCAAGGTGTGATCTCATTGAACGCAGATGCGGGTCCTCATCCGCTCTCCATGGCCCGTTTTCTCTCGTGGGAAACAGTTGAACTCGGTTTGATTCGGTCGAATTCGCCTGGATTCCTGTGTGCGGTTTGGCGCGGCAGAGATGGCCCTTCGTCATTCGTTCGACTCTCGGAACTTTAGCAGGGCGGTGCGTTTAGCGTGGAGAATCGATCGCCCGCAGCGAGCGAGAGCAGGTAAGTTGGTTTGTTTCTGCAGTACCTACCATGGCTACCAGAGAGAGTGAGAGTCATACGTACCATAGCACGTTTGAACTGATGGTAAAAGACCCCTTGGACCCCCATGATAATACTCGTAGTACAAGTACGCAGCCAATTACCTACCTAGCATTTCACCTGACCTTGTCTTGTGCCTGGTATTCAAGCTGAAAAGTCAAAACCTCAAAAACTCAAAAAGACACTGCAGCGCACAATCGTGTTTCGCTACCCTTCCATCTTCCAGTTATACACTTTCAAAACAATTGACTTACTTGGTCTTCTCTCACACTTTATCCTCCTCTTTCTCACTCACATCCTCTCTGGTTCTCTCCAAAAAATCATTGGAGATTTGGCCAAGTTGTTTCGTCTTCCTTGCTTTTTGACGTTACACAAACAAGCCCCTCCTTACCATAACGCAATTGCCTTCATCCCACTCTTCACTCACTTACTCACCCACACATACCGCCCCAAAACAAGCCTACACAAACGTGGCTTTCTGATGTCGATCAGATTATCTGGTACGTTTTGGATCGCTCTCTTCCCCCCCACCGCCCCGGCCTGCTCCCATCACAAACAACCTACCGAGGAGTGACTGCCCCAGTCGGTCACTGTATCTCCTGGCTCGCTGATAAGCCCTGCGGCATTCTTGGCCGGGCGCATTCTGTCCCGCATGGCCTGGATACGTCAAGGCTAGAACGTGCATGCAATATCAGCACACACAGAGCGAGATATTATTGTCCTTGACGGTGGAAGTAGCCGTTTTCCTGGCCCAATCCCGCTTCAAACAGGCCAAGCCTGGGACTGTCACATTCATCGCCCGTCATACAAGAGAAACGTGTCACCGTTGTCACATGGAAATTGATTGTTAACGTCTTTACAGTTTATTATTGAGCTACTTGACTTTGATTTCTTTTGCTCAGCATGTCTGCTCCGTCCGCACCTGTGGTTCCTCCGCGACCCTCCCGCTCCCCGAACCCTCAAAACCACGCAAGCACGTCGAGCTCAACCGCGATGGATGTGCCAAAAGTGCCTCCGCGTCCGGGAAGCCGCCGCCTTGAGCGATCTCAATCGCCGCATCGCGCTAGCTTTGCCCGCTCTCCCTTGCACGATTCGCCTTTTGTGGGCCGCGTTCCACATGAGCGCCAAGAGAGTGCTCCGCGTCGACCCCCGAGCATCTCGATGCCATCCATTGGCCAAGAAGGCATTGAATACACATCCGCCCTCTACAATCCTGAGGAGCAAGATGGTACTCCGTCAACCGCCAACGCATCTGGTCCAAACTCTCCTCCAAAGGTTGGAAACATTCGTCAAGACCTTCCGCTCTACGCCCCGAAGGCGTCGCACCCAGAAGTCAATGAAAAGGCGAGAGTTGCCGCCGTCACCAGAACCGACTCAGCCCAGGCTGCCGCAGCCGGCATTGGCCGAGCCGCTCCTACTGAGGATGACAAGGAGCGTCAAGCGCGTCCGATATTCAAGCGCATCAGCTTCTCGAGGCCAGAGTCCGTCTCGACAGAGCGGCCTTACTCAACCCGACCTGAAGATGAAGATTCGGAAGGCCAAGGCGTTCGAGTCCCCATGTATCCCAATGCGGGCTTCGTCCAGGCTCCGTCTCCAGCGCCGCAGTCGTCTGGCCACGGCACTCCTGAAGGGTCGCAGCGACCCTCAAGACACCACGGCCGGACTCGCAGTGGCCGGGAATTCTTTCACGGTCCTCCCGGTAGCTACGGCCTCCACGGCCATGGCGTGACCCCAAAGGATAAGTTCGAAAAGGCCTGGTATGAGAAGCATCCCGACGAGCTGGAGCACGAAATGCACGGAGAATACGGTCCCGGTATTGGAGTCCGAAAGGACTGGGTCTTGTCTAGTAACGATCTCAACAAGCTCGTCCACGAAACGGCTAGCAGAGGTGCCGGCTATGGTAAGTTTTCTTTTTCCACACACAATCCGGGACGTGAATTGAAATCTTTCACTTATCCCTTTTGGCCGTATCTTCTAACAAGCATTTGGTCAGGTACTTCTCCGGATGTTATCGGCACACCAGACGAGCAGATTGGTTATGCTGCGTCAGACGAATACACGGCTCGTCTTTCCTCGTCGCGCTCACAATCTCGATCGCGGATTTCAAAGTCCCGAACTGGCAGCATCCAACCATCAGTCGAGTCACCGTTGAGGAAAATGAGCTTCCCCGCCAATCAGGCCAAGGCTGAAGAGGAGCCAAAGGAGCCAGGGGCTGGTGACCATGCGCTGGAGAGCGAGGCAGACGACGATGAGGTCATTCACATTGACCCCCCAACCCGCCGTGGCAGCAAGGTGGATCATCATCATCATCACCACCACCACCATCACCCTCACAATCAATCCACCGACGACCTTGGTGAGCAGGGCGAGGAAGAAGAGGGCGCATGGCCTGATGAGCGTGGCGTCGATACCCCTATTCTCGCATCAGACGAGTTAGCCAAGGATAATCATGCCGAGTTCTTACAACCGGCAGTGTCTCCTCAAGAGCGTCGCGGAAGTAATTATTTCGGCCAGGAGCTCGAGAATGGATTTTACTCAAAGCACACGAGTCGTGGATCTAGTATCGCTGGAAGCCGACCAACGAGCAGGCCTGGAAGCATCTACAATCTCGCGCCTGGATTCGGACGACATTCATCCGTGGACGACCGGGAGCTGGAAGACGTGGAAGAATACGAGCCGCTCTTCCCCGAGGAGGATGAAAAGACTGGACAAAAGAAGCCCATAACGTTGGTGGACAAGCTGAAGCGTCCTGCCACCATCCGTCACAAGTTCCCCAGTCAAGATGTTTGGGAAGACGCTCCAAACAGTTTGAAGCTCGAGACTACCGTCTCTACGCCTGAAGCTCCTTCTAATGAATCTCCTGTTGACCAACAACCCCCCAACAAGGAAGAGCCCACGACAGCGCCAGAGGATCGCAACGGTGGCTACCACGTCGATATCTTGCCTCAAGTGACCAGGCATCTTTCGAAGCCGAAAGTAGCCCCACATCTCCGCAATGAGGTATCTCGGCCTCACATCGCTCATCGGTTCCCTAGTCATGACATTTGGGAAGATGCGCCCGACAGTCTACAGCTCCAAACCACCGTCTCGACCCCTGAAGTCCCAGATACGGAGAGCCCAATCGACAAGGAGACCCGGGACTCGGCAGAAAAACCTGCGAAGCCTCCTATTCCTGCACGCCCAGCAAAGGGAGCTGCAGCACCGGAAGCAGACAAGGGCGACGCAGCACAGGTGCCGGCAACAATTCCAAGCCGTCCACCGCAGCGGCTGCGCCAGGTGCCGCCAGCGGAGATTCCGCCATCGCCGGCCCCAGCTTCGGAGAGCCATGCACACCAAGTGGAAAGGAACGTTCCATTGCCGGCCCATGAAACGCACACGTCAGAGCGAAAGGCTCCAACGCTACCAGACAGGCCCAAGCCTCAAATCCCTGCCCGCCCTGTGAGACCCACGGCGAAGGACAATGCTTCGATTGTCGCCGAGCACCTTGCTGCGAAACCCAAACCGGCTGTGCCTGGTCGGCCTCAGGGCTCCAAAATTTCCAGCCTCAAGGCTGGATTCCTGTCGGACCTCAACAAGTCGCTTCAGCTTGGACCGACCCGGCCCAAGTCGCCGGAGAAGTCTAACGAAGAGGCTGCCAAGGAAGAAGAAAAGGAGCCGGCTCCTTTGTCAGATGCTCGTAAAGGTCGTGCTCGTGGGCCCGCGCGAAGAAAGCCTGCTACTGCCGCTGCCGCCGGCGCCGGCCCCGCCGATGCAACTACGGCTGAGACTGCAAAGAATGGCGCCAAATTTGAGATTGCCTTGCCATGGAAGGTGTGGGAGGTCTCCGAGGACGGGCATGTCAATGTAAACTCTCCGGAGCCAGCGCCTGTGACACCCCCAGAGCGTGCCGATTTGAAAGCAACAAAGGACGAGACGCCTACGCTAGCGACAAACACTGAGGGAGATTTTGTACACCGACGTGAAGAGATTTCTCCAGGTGCTTCTCGAGCCTCCCATATTCGAGACACGAAGCAAGACGAGCACCAAGCCAGCGAGGAGCTTGCAGAGAGACATGATCTTGCCACACATGTCAGCAACCAGCTCGCCGCAACCGAGTTTGTCCCCAAGGCCAGCGACGATCCATTGTACGCTGGTGAAACGACCAAGTCTCAAGTTTTCCTCGATACGACTGAGAGGAACGAGGCTGATGTGACGCCCGAAGATCCAGAGTTTGTTGCAGCAAAACGAGCCAATCTCATAGACACCGAGGTCCGAAGTCCCGAGGCAGTTGCGGCTGCTAGCGAGACTGCCAGCCCGGGCGTCACTGCTCCCAGAAAATTTAGCACCCTGACCAACGAGACCGATCAGACGGGAGAGCATAACACCATCACGATCACCAGCGCTGATGGCGATGACTCCCCGGCTGACAAGGAAAAGCCCGTGGCGTAATCTGGAAACGTCCTCAAGGATGCAGATATCGTCATCAAACCTGAGGAACAAGCTGGAACGTTTGATGATTCTGGTGCTGCGTTATTGGCATACGCTTGCTCGGAAGTTTAGATCATCCTGTCGCATGCACAGTCAGTTCTTATTTAACTTGTATAAAGTGCGCAAAGCGGATTCGAATAGAAGTAGCGCAGCACACTTGCTTGCTTGCTTAATTGCTTGCTTAGCATGTTCTTTGTCTCATAACATTTCTCTTTCGTCCAGCGTTGATATTTAAGAGCCTCTACCTCCTTTTTTTTTTTTTTGTTCCCCGTCCCTTTTCTATCCTTTTCACCTATCTTTCCCCCTATCATCGTCCTTTCTCCTTCTCTGCTTTTTTCCTTTTCTATTTGCCTCCCTCTTCTCTCCTTTTGAGTCTTCTTATCTTGCTAGAACCACTGTCCGACAAGACTAAGAAATGATTAGTTACTCGAATATACTATATGTATACCTTAGGTTACCTACTATATTTTACAAATACAAATATAATACATTCCTTATAGGTACTTTCAACTTTCATGAGACTACTGAAGCTTTTTCTTCTTTCTGTCTTTTTTTTTTCTCTCTTTTTTCCTTATTTATTCTTATTTTTTTATCTTTCCTATTCTTTCCCCCCACCTCTTGTTTTCCATCTTTGTATTTTCTCTTTTATCTTTCTCATTTTCTTCTATCTTTCTCTTTTCTTTATCTTTATCGTTATCGTTTTTCTATTTTAAAGATAAAAACCCTTTTTCTATTTCTCTTATCTTTATGTTTATGTTTATGTTTATGTTTATCCTTATGTTGACGTTTAAATCTTCGTGATAGATACATAATTGCTTCTCAATGTGGCACACGCAGGATATATAGTGTAGTTTCAACGTATATGGTACAATGGACTACGTGACGCAGATTTACACGCGTGATAAGTCACAGACTTACGGGTTACATGCGTAGTCTCTTTGTTTCATGAATCCTGGCTTTCAAACATTGTCACCTTCGGGAGAATGTACGATTCAGTCTGATTTATTTATTTATTATTTATTTATTTATTTATTTTTTTTTTTGAAATTCGTGTCTGGTTTTCGATGTTTGATCACGGATCTATTGATCTGTGGAGCTAGTTTATCCAAGTACAACTATCAAGTACAAGTATCCAAGACTGACTCCTAATACACCAACACATATACGCCAATGTAGAGACAATGATACGCCGACGACGACACAGGAATCAAGATTTAAAATCCCGTTTCCACAGAGACAAAGATATGTATGTTCAAGAACAACAACGATGAAAATGACATGGTCGCTCAGTCGGACGGTAGAGAGGTACACAGGGCGAGCAGAAATATCCGGCTGTCCGCTTATGACAAAAGACAGTGGACTGTCGCAGGGAAGGATGACAAAGTGCGGAATGTATCCGTCTGCTGGAATGGAGAATAAAGCAGGAAACGTAACAAACGGTAGAATGTACCTCTGCTAAAGACAAGAGACAATGAGACGCAGAAAACGGAACGAAATGTGGATTGTGCCTGTCTATCCGCTCATGACAAGACAATGGACAATAGACAGTAGAAGAAAAACAGGACAAAGTGTGGAATGACACTTGTCCGCTCAAACAATGGATTGAAGAAGAAAAGGATAACAGAATGTGGAATGAAATATGTCTCTCCGCTCATGACAAGACAATAGACAATAGACAGTAGACAGTAGAAGAAGAGGAGAAAGAAGAAAAGAGGCAAAAAGGAAGCGGGAATGACGTACAAAGAAACAAGGGGAAAAAAGGAAAAGAAAATAGGAAAAAGGAACAGAGGGGTATAAACGGAAATAAGGAACAAAAAGACATCACCGTAGTGGAGTAACAACTGGACGGAAAACAACAGTGATGAAAAAGTGTTGATGCCAGGATGAGCGTCGCCTCATAGAGAGTCCAACCGATGACAAAGCATGGCATGATAATGCGCAGAGACGGTGAAAAGCATACCCTAATAAAAGTCCAACCGATGCGAGGAAAGGCATGACATGGTGATAAACAGAGACGATGAAAAGCACGCAACGATGAGAAGCAGACGATGAAAAAGCATGACTGATAAAAGTCCAACCGATCAAAAAGTAAAACGCTAAACTGAAAAGAAGAATGTCACACCCTAACGCAAAAGAGCAGGAAAGTAAACGACGAAAGAAAAGAACAGAAAGTAAAAATCGCTGTAACGGCATTTTGCAGTTTGGGATCTGTCTGAAAGCTGCAGGAGGCAGACAGAGGTAGAGGCAGGACAATGCGATGCAGTGAAATGGAATGTAACGCAATGCAATGTGATGTGATGAATAACGCATGATGAAACGAGGCGCAGAGGTTCGTGACGCCTATGCAAGAGACAAGAGTGATATGCCTGAGGCGGTGACCCAGGACTAAGAACAAAACAGTAAAATGTACAACCGGGCTACAACACGGGTTATCCTATTCCATAAAGCTCCATGCAGAGCGCTATGAAGGGGCGAAAGGCAAACTGTATCGGTTTGAAGAGATACTTGAACGTGGCAAACGGTGGACGTGGGGCGTTGATATCGACGCCGTAGCCTTCAAAAGGAATGGAGGTGTAGAATTTGTGGCCCCAGAGTTCGCTAGAACGGTCAGTATTTGTAGAGAAGAGCTCCAATCGCATATTTGTAGGATATCTCAATAAATGAAGGAAAGTGATAATGGAGAGGGGAGACAAGACAAGACGAAGGAACGAGGAAAGAAAGTAAGAAAATGGACGAGACAAAGGAATGAGGGAAAAAAGAAAAGAAAAAAGAAAAATGGATGGAAGAAAGAAATGGAACAAGGAACATACTTTATAGTGATTTCCGAAATAACATAAGCCCAGAATAAGACCCAAAAGAGTCCGAACCAAGTGAGACGGGGCCGCCGACTATCGCTCGGCCACTGATATACTGTTGGAAACGGCCACGCGAAAATATGCCACTTGTTACAATCATCGTAATGCAGCCTCTTGCCTGTACCGCCGCCGCTGCTAGGAAGAGCAGCCGTGCAGCCGCATACTTTGCACGGTGGAGGCGCGGTGCCGGAATCAAATTTATGTTCGAGGCCTTCGATCCCGCGCTTCGCATCGCGGATGCTCGTCCCAAGACTTCGAAGACGGCGGTTCATGCGCTCGTACGCGAGCATTTCCTGTTGGCGCTCCCGTTCGGCTTTGGTAAACGGCCGGCCGTGCTCGTCCTTTTCAATCATGTCGAGTTCGGCCTCGATCGCGTTGCGGTCGTCTTCAGTCAGGCCGGTGAGGTGAGTGGAGTCGTGCATGGTCATCGTTGTGGCCATGAGATCCTCGAGCGAGTCGATGGTGGAATCGCCCAGGCGTAACTGATCTTCGTCGCTGGATCCGGATCCGGACCCGGAGCGGGAGCCAGGTCGATCTCCAGTGGCAGCGGCAGAGGAGCTATTGGTGGCAGCAGCGTCGTCGGATTTGTTTTTTTCTTGCTTGCGTTTGGCTCGCTGGATGATAGAAGAAAGAGCGGAGCGCGGAAGGGGCGGTCCTTGATATTCTAATTTCGTGGAAGTTGGATCTTCCTGCTTTGATTCTTGTGCTGACGGTGCAGAGGGTTTTGGTTCGGCAGAGTCCTCTTTCTTAATGGCTCGAGAAGGATGAGAGGTGGGTTCGGATTTGATGATTTTCGGTACAGAGTCCTTTGGATGTGACTCCGGACGCGGCTTGGGCGCCGGTGCCGGCGTTTCAATCCATGCTCCTGTTACAATGGGCGTTTTTGCCGGTAGAAGATTTTGTTTTGGCAGCGGCGTGACATTGAGCCCGTTGAGTTGGTCTTTACGGTCTTCATGTTTTGAGAGGATCGCGTTGGGGGGAGTAGGTAGCCGCGGTAATGAATCTAGTGGTGATTCAGATTTGGGAGCAATATCAGCCTTTTGTGTTGCAGGCTGCTTAACTGTTGGCGGACTGAGATGTGATTGCGGCTTGGAAGCTTTGTGCTCAGCTGGTTTCTTCTGCAAAACATCTTCTCGCCTTGGACTGGGGCTTGCACTGGCTATTCTTGATAGTCTTCTTAGAAGTTCCTGTGAATCTGTAAAGTCATCCTCTGGCTGTTTGGGTTTGACTTCCGCTTTGGAATCGGCTCTTTTGTTCCAAGTCTTATCAGTAGACCCAGAGTCTCGTTGATTGTGGTAAACAATGACTGGCGTGTCCGGTATTGCCACGCCTTTGCCTTCGAGGCCATCGAACAACAGCGAAGCCTCTCCTTGTTTTCGAGGACTGGGTTCCAATTTCTTGAGAGTTGAATCTTCTCCATGATTTGAAGAAATTTGTGGTGAAGGATCCATTTTCGGTAACTTTGCTTCCTGTGCCGGCTTCTGATTTTCCTTATTCGCAACTTTTGCCTTTGGTACGGGAGATGTTCTCGCTTTATACTCTGGTGATCGTGAAGGTGGTAGACTTGTTCTGCCAGGTGAACGTAATTGATCTTGAGCTGCTTGCTCTTTAACTGACTTTGGGGATTTTTTCTCAGATATCCTCTTCGGTGGTTCGATAGGTGAAGCCTCTGCGGGTGACTCTTCGCGTGCCGATTCTTCTTTCCTAGCTTCTTCTGCTTCTTCTTCCATCTCTCTGATATCACTCAGTGACTTGTTTAGACCCTTGAGTGGAGGGCTTGTGGAGATCTGAAGTGAGCTCGCAGTGAATTCTTCCTCAACCTCCCACTCCCGTATCCGATCCAGCGCGGGATTACGACGTTGTCGAGGCGGCGACCATTGCTGTGCATTCTGCTGCGGCAGGCGCGGGCTGGCTTCCTCTGAGGGGGCAGCTTCCTCATTTGCAACCGCAAGCCAGTCAATCTCTGGCCCTGCACGGGTATTCTTCAAAGGCTTCTGCGTAGACGTTGCGCCTGAATCTGCAGGTGTCTCAATGTCTGGTGACGGTGATAGCCTAGGCTGTATATCATTGAGCTGAATCCTCTTCAACCAGTCGGGCTGTTTTCTCGCCTTTCGGCCCCATTCTCGCGGTATATTTACCGGCAGATTCGAACTGCCGCTGCTGCCCGTTCCCTCAGACCCAGCCCCTTGGGCCGGCAGTACCGTACTGTCTGAGCGGTTCCCTCTTTGCAAATTTTCAGCGGTCAAGCTGGGCCGCTCTCGTTGTCGCGCGCGGCTGAATATACGCGTACCATTTTTGAGGTTTCCAAGGAGTCGCTCATCTCGCGCGTTTCGTAGTAGAGCGCGTCCGATGGAATCATCGGTTGCGTTTTCGAGCACTGAGACACTATTCTCTGATTCTGAAATCGATACACGATGCGGCTTATTTGCTGTCGTATCGCGCTCAGCCGCGACAAGCTGATCAAGGAAGCTTTGTCTTTCGGGATTCTGGGCGCGTCGACGAGATTGTCGCATCGAAAGTGGAGAAGGCGGGTCGCGGATGACCTGAACCGTTTCGGTGCTGGGAGAGCCATCTGGACGCGTTGTACGATAATGGTAAGTCATATTACCAGCTTCCTCCTCAGCAGCCCGCTGATAGGCATCAGTCAAAGTGCGCAGGGGAGCCATGATTGGTGCGTGCAAGTGCGCTCATGAGTTTCTCTTTGTTCGTGAACGGAGTCTCTGGAATAAACAAATTGAGCTGCCAGTAACGTCGGAGGGTCGGAGGTTGTGCGGTAACGCAGTAACGCCTGTCGCGCAGTAATATCGCCCTTGTGACTGCGTGACGTCTACGATACATAAACATTCTGCAGGTTGTTGTAAGATCAGCATGTACTGGATGCATTGGGGGGAGGCAAATTTCTATCAGCCATTAAGGGTTCTAGCTCATTGAGCTCGAAAAAGGGGAGTATATGATAAATAACCTACTGCTCATGCTCCCTTCTCAATAATCGAATCAATTGCATCAATTCCAATCCATCGCCATATCTGTGACATCTCATCAGAAAGTCTATCCAAGCTCAATTATCTCGTGCAAATATCAGTGAACATGTCATTTATTCGTCTTCCGTTACGGACCGCGCTCCATTCGCGACCATTTGTTGGGGCGCCTCTGCAAGCTATCCTTCCAGCATCTGGGCTACGCTTTTCACACCAAGATTATGGTAGTGGAGAGGGAGATCCTCGCGGTGAGCAGCCTCAGAAACAAGGCCGCAATCCTTCTGTCGAAAAGGAGCATCCAGGTCCTCCGCCTCCAGCAGAAGGCCAAGGCTCTGGGAGCGGTTCTGCCAAAGGTCAAAGCTCTGGAAGTTCACAGAAGAGCAGCAGCAGCAGCAGCTCTAAATCCAAGAATGATGCTCAACCCAAGATCCTTGAGCATCATGAACCAGAAGAAGTTATGAGCAACCCAAGCGAGGAGACGCAAAAACACAACAAGGAATTCCAGGAGCGCTACGACCGGCCCGCGGAACATGCCAAAGGCAGCAATGAAAACGTATCCAAAAAGTTCTGGTCTGGTGAGTCTTCTCCTGGTTACATGCCACTCTCGACATCCACACGATATTGATATTCTCCTCATATAGGACACGGCGGCGCACATGGAGCATCGTGAGCCTGTTGAGTGCAGAGACGTGAAGCAATCGGGGATTTGCCCCTGACGTTCTTGGGACTGAAGCGGACAATATGTTTTGATGCAAGTGAATAGCAGTGTTACGCTCTTGTCATGGGCTTTTTAGGGATGCAGACACGCTTTCTCTTTCCTGCGATGGTTCTGTTAGTGATCATATTTTTCCTGCTACGACATTCAATTGGCATCTTCCGAATTTGATATGTTTCTATTTGAATTGACTTTCCTGTGAGACAACTTGGTCGCCATGATTATGGTGGCGCTGCCGTATTGTTGACCCATGATTCTCCGCAATTGCGTGAGCGTGTGAGAGAGTGTGGGGAAATTGAAGTAGCAGTACATGAAGATACTTGAGTCCAACATGGTAATTGTGGATGATTGCCGGGGCAAACAAGGTCATGAGCTCAAAATCGCAACCTTGACGTCATCGGAAAGTCATACCGTATTCAGTAAGATGCTTGCATTCCTTCCCCGCGAATTTCCACTGCTCCCGCTTAAACAAGCTCTTTTTGTCTCGGTGTCTCATCCAGTCCACCACTGTGTCTTTCACAACCAGATGCAGCAAGTGCAGGGGAAAGTATCGGTACTTTTATGTACTTCTAGACCCTCAATTTCCCTGTTTACCATCAGGGACAGTAGAATCGCAGGCCATAGCTTCCCCCTTCACTTGTAGCTTGCAGGTGTTTTCTCGCCTAAACAATACCAGGGGGGTAAAGTTAAGTTGACGACATGCAAGCATTTAGCCCCCGTTACCTCACCGGAGTGACCAATGTTGTCATGATTATTCTTGTGTGATTCTTTACCTCTTTCTCGCCTTCCCTCTCCGCTTCCCTTTTAATCCTGCCTTGACCTGTCGCACACAAAGGGCCCTTAACCCATCAAGCTGCTCGTCATCGGGCCCTGAGCCACATAAATCCATTTTCTTTAAACCTTTAAAACATTTCTTCACCCTCAGCTTCTCACTGTAACTGAATAATCTTCTACGAGATTCTCACTTCTACGCCAGGAAGATGAAGTTCTCCTTCACTTCCGCCCTCGTCTTAGCCCTTGCGGCGGACGTGACCCTTGCCAGCACCTGGTTCAGCAAAGCCGGTAAGTGATGAGTTTTTCTATTACTCTTCCTCTGAGTTTATAGAATGTCTTTTGCGTCGTCTGGCATCTCGCGTCTTGCGTCGATGCTGGATTAGTCGTGGAGGTCTATTCTGCTCGGCACCACTGCGTTTAAATCACTCTCCAAAATCTCCCCTTGCCGTTTTAATCGAGCGTTGCTGACTCTTCAGCTTACAACAAATGGCATGAAACTGAGCTGGAGCGTTGGTTGTCGGACCACAATATCCCCTATCCTAGCCCTGCGGATCGTAAGGACCTCGAAAATCTGATCAAGGACAACTGGCAATCCAAGATAGCCACCCCTTACGCAGAGTGGCAGCCTTCGCAGCTTCAATCCTATCTCAAATCTAAGGGTCAAGAAGCCCAGAAAGGTTCTGAAAAGAGCAAGGATAGCCTGATTGCTCAGGTTAAGAAGCACTGGTTTGAGACGGAGGAAGCTGCTTCTGATGCTTATGGAAACGTACGAGACTGGATCTTTGACAGGTATGTCTTTTCAAATCAATTCATAGGTAGTCGTGGCTCAAAATGCTTACCATATTCCTCTAGCTGGACCGACTCGCAACTCAAGGCTTTTCTCGACAGACATGGAATTCCCGCTCCTCAGCCTCGCAAGCGTGACACCCTTTTGGCGACCGCACGCGAGAACTACCAAATTGTCGCAAACAAGCTCGGAGAGACCGCGTCCTACCCTGGAAACTGGCTTTATGAGACTTGGTCAGAGTCTGACTTGAAAGAATTTTTGGATGAGCGCGGAATCCCTGCCCCGCAGCCCAGCACTCGTGACAAGTTGATTGCTTCGGTTCGCCGTAACGCTCGTCTGTCCAAGGTCAGCATTGAGGAGGCTGCTGCTTCGGCATCGGCATCTGCCAATGCTGCCAAGGAGAGTCTTGCCGATTCTTTGATTGACGCCTGGGGAGACAGCAAGATCAAGGAATGGCTTGACGAAAATGGTGTCAAGGTCCCTCAGGGCTCCAAGCGTAACGAGCTTCTGGCTCTTGTTCGAAAGCACCGTGCCCGATTGACTGGTGACAATATCTCTGCCTCGGCGGCAAGTGCATACGGTGCGGCTACCTCCAAGGCTGGCAACCAGTATGCCCAGGCTACCGATGACGCTCAGCTCAAGGCTGAGGAGGCTTTTGATGCCGTTGTTGGTTCCTGGAGTGATAGCCGTCTGAAGGCCTATCTTGATGCTCGCGGCATTCCGGTCCCTCAGAGTGGAAAGCGGGACGAGCTTGTTGCTCACGTTCGCTTGAACAAGCACAAGGCTGCCAGTGGATGGAACGCTTGGACGTTTGACACGTGGACCGTGGCTAATTTGAAGTGAGTACTAATCTACTGCCTATAAACGATTGAAGTGTTTGTGCCCCCAACTAACACGCCAATTTCTCAGGAAATACCTCTCTTCCTTTGGTCAAGACAAGGCTGCCAAGGCCAGCTCGAGCAGAGATGATCTTGTCAAGCAAGCCCAGCAGGTTTATGCGAGCGCATCGAAGACTGGTGGATCCAACTACGCTTCGGTGACTTCGTACTTGTCTGCTGCCACTGACGCCGCCAAGGACTCCACCTTTGAGACGTGGTCGGATTCGGAGCTCAAGTCGTATCTCGACTCGTATGGTTTGCCTGCGTATCAGGGCAGCAATATTAATGAGCTCAAGGCTGCCGCTCGGAGACAAGCGACCTATTTCCGCTATGGCACCAGTAGCCCCGGAGGAACTCTGCTTGCGAAGCTTCAGAACAGCTTCCAATGGGTGCTGGACCAGGTCAAGTTTGGTGCCGCCAGCGGACGCAAGGAGGGAGCTTATCAGGGTGAGCGGGCAGCGGATGCGGTCAAGGAAGGTGCCACAACTGCCACCAACCGTGCCCAAGAGGCTGCCCAGAAGGTGAGTGACAAGATCAAGGAGGAGTTGTAAACGTCCTTTGTGAATTTTGCCCATGCATACAAGTATGAGCATAAAGGACGACAACTAAAGAAAAGGGAAAAAACCATTATCTTCAATGTTACGACTGCTTGCGATGTGATCAAAAGGTCGGGATCAATGGGTCATGATCTTTTTTTTTATTTTTACTCTGGCGTTTACAGTATGTAGCAAAATGAGCAATACGAGCTATGATTAAGATTATGTATGCATTGATTGAAGCAGCCATTTCGTTGAGTGAGCAAGGGACATTTCACAGCGGATTTGAATCTTTGAAGATCCAGTGTCTCTTGGGAGTATATCAGGCCTACCTAAGGTCAATTGGGGGATTGTAGCCAAAGACGAGAGCCCTGGAGCATGTCATCGCTAACAGCGCTGTCGACATGGGTCGAGGTACCTCACCCCGAAAAATTACAAGTATTGTCATAACCCTCATATGACGATCAAAGTACTGTGGCTGAAAAGCTACTTTTATTGCACCGGCTGCCTGTATGACTGTGGCGTGAGGGCAGGGAATGACGGATGAAACGAATGAGGCTGATTGTCCATTTACTCTTCTACAGTTTCTCTCATATGTCTTTGCTTGCACTGATGCAATTGCTTTCTCATTGTTGAATCGATGAGTTCCATCACTTGTTGTCACAAGATTCATCATCAATCATGCGATTTCCTTGCAGTGGAGAATACCGCTTAACTAAAGATTTTCCTACGGCGGCAGTCCACCCCTTTAGCTTCCTTCGTTCTGGGGGAGAGGATCGTCTCCCTCAGTCGGCGTCTTCTCCAGCCACAGCGAAATGGGACGCCCTAAGGTCGCATAACATCGGACCGGTAGAGGAGCCTTGGGAACAGAAAAAAGGTGTGTCATCTGCCCCTCCGGAACCACGGCCCAGCCTAAATTCCCTTCTGGCCTATCGGACAAGGACCCTGGGCGCCGGTCCGGACAAAATCGATTGATGGGATTCATTCTTAACATTATTTGTCCCTCAGTGCTCGACCCCTCCAAAACACTGCTCACTTTCACCGTCAACAGTGATTGTCATTTTTCGTCAATTGCACGTGTGAACGGCTTTATACCCAGCAGCCACGAGAGTGCTGTCAACGCTCGTGTTCTTTTTCCCCCTCGATACGGAAAAAGAACTCTCCACCAAAAAATCCGCCCAAGGAGTCATCGCTGACTCTGACGAGTCGATCACTGACGCACCACGAGACCATATCCCGAATTGCAGACCACTTGAGTGCAAGGACTTTTCCGTCTGTGATTAATACCGGCAGGATGGAGTTCACCATCCGCGCGCCGTGCTCGTCGGCCAACATTGGCCCTGGCTTCGACGTGATCGGCCTCGCCCTGTCCATGTACCTCGAACTGCACGTCAAAGTGGACAAGAGCAAGACGACGTCGGAGAAGATACTCAACTGCGGCATCACGTACGAGGGCCAGGGCGGCCAGGGCAGCGTCAGCCTCAACCCGGAGCGCAACCTCATCACCCGCGTCGCGTTGTACGTCCTGCGCTGCCACAACCAGCGCGCATTCCCCATCGAGACGAACATTCACATTGTCAACCCTATCCCATTGGGTCGCGGCCTGGGCTCTTCCGGCGCAGCAGTCGTCGCGGGCGTCTTTTTAGCCAACGAAGTCGGTCAATTAGGTCTGTCCAAGGCTCGAATGTTGGATTACTGCTTGATGGTACGCTATTTCCCTTTTTTCTCCCGTACCTTACCCATCCTATACCTCGTACCTCGTACCTCGTGGTCTTCTCCATTATTCCAACCCATCCTTTGACTGCCAACATCCCATCTTTGGACTGCCAGCTAATATGAGACACCAGGTCGAGCGACACCCCGACAACGTCGCCGCAGCCCTATATGGCGGATTCGTCGGCACGTACCTGAACGAGCTGAAACCCGAAGACGTATCGCGCCTGGAGATCCCGCTCAGCGAAGTTCTGCCCGAATGCACGGGCGGCGTGGACACTGGTCTCAAACCCCCCGACCCACCGCTCAACATCGGGCACTACCACCAGTTCAAATGGGCGCCCGAGATCCAATGCGTGGCCATTATCCCGCAATTCAAAGTCCCCACCGCCGAGGCGCGCGAAGTGCTGCCCAAATCCTACATGCGCGCCGACGTCGTCTTCAACCTCCAGCGCATTGCGCTCCTGCCCATCGCCCTCGGCGAGTCCCCGCCCGACCCGGAATTCATCTACCTCTCCATGCAGGACAAAGTGCACCAGCCCTACCGCAAGACCCTCATCCCCGGCCTCACCGAGATCCTGCAGAGCGTGACCCCCAAGAGCCACCCGGGCCTGCTGGGCATCTGTCTCTCCGGCGCCGGACCCACCATCCTCGCCCTCGCCACGGAGAATTTCGAGCAGATTGCACACACCCTCATTGCCGAGTTCAAGACCAAGGGCATCGAATGTGATTGGAAATTGCTCGTTCCTGCGCATGACGGCACCACCGCGACGTACAAGTCATAGACTATCTAGAGCCTAGAGGTTTGTAGAGGACAAGAGGACAAGAGGACAGGAGGACAAGAGTATCCTGGGTTCAGTTGCACTGTATATATATCATTTGATTCACGTTTTCTTTTTCTTTTTTTCCTATCATCTTATTTTTTCCTTGGTATCTTATTTTTTCCTTAGTATCTTATATTTCCCTTTCGCCGTTCCGTTTTACGGTCTACATATAGCATTTCATACATATTAGATTAGACATACATACATATATATGTATCTACACGTTACTGAAGAGACCAAGAAAGAATAAAATCACACAATTTTATACTACTACTATCATATCCTACTCATACATATACATACACCATACTATCGCTACTGCTATGGATCTCACAAACATGGAGGAGCGCTAGAGACAAAAGTAGACAAGAATCTACTATAGTATCGTACTACCGCACTACCATACATGACCTATTCCCTGCTCTGCGTCCATGATTACCCCCGTCATTCCGAGAAAATATATTCGTGTTTTGTTGACGAACATGTCCATCTCTCCAGCTGCCCTCCGTCCTTTCCAGCCCAGTCTCAGTTGGACTACGGCTGCCACGATCTGCTGTCCTCCACCCTTTCCTTTTTTACTTGTGAGGTTCAGGACATACTGTGTGCCGTGCACTGTGTATAGGATACTGTGTATTACTCGGCCATCTCTAAGACTGATCCGGGAGTGCACCATGTGTGCACCATGCGCTCAGGCATGCAAGTTGTGTATGAGGCCTCAGGAGCGTCGAGATATGAGAGAGAAAGAGCTGTGAGCGGTGAATGGAGAGCGGAGAGCGTGGAGCGTGGAGCGGGGAGTAGGGAGCGGAGAAAGGATGTGTGTCCATTGAGAAGAGTGTTGAGAGTAGAAAGGTGGAGAGTTGGGAGTAGAGTAGAGTAGAGTAGAGAAGAGGGGGAAGAGAAGAGAGTTGCTGTCCTTCAATGCCGAAGAAACTCTTAGCTCTTCAGCTCTTCGATGATGATAATAAGAAGAGAGACGGAGAAGCTCTTCAAGGATAGTAAGAGGAACGGAGAAGTTCCTCAGGGACAGAAAATAAAATTCCGATTGGTGATAGGCCGGTAAGAGACGAAAGAACCGAGACGTAAGAACCAATGGATTGGAACCGTGGATAGAATACCAATGGATAGAAGACCAATGGATAGAAGACCAATGGATAGAAGACCAATGGATAGAAGACCAATGGATAGAAGACCAATGGATAGAAGACCAA